TTAAAAAAAAAAAAAAAAAAACACTTCTAATTTAAGTAAACTTAAACCAATCTTCACATAAACCCATTATAATAAATGTCATAATTAGCTATCTGTGCCCTTCAGCAAGTAGGAAATATACAGAAATTGAATAAAGTTATCAAACACTAAATTCTAATTTAAATAAAGTTATTGATTTCCTCTTTTTTGTTTTTGTTCTTTTGTTCTTTGATGAACAGACATCATAGCAGCTGGGTTATTAGGTTAGTTTGGCTTCTTTAAGAGCTGCTGCTGCTGAACATGACGCGGATCTGATACGCATCGTATTTCTTTACCTTTTATGACCCACTTCAGTTCTTTAAGTCTCTACTAATGCACTGATGAGTTGATTTGGGTGTTTTATATGAGGGAGACAGTGCTGGGGTGCTCCAGGACAGTTTTGAAAACCATTTCAGAGAGATGTTCTTAAATGTAACTCATATAACAAATATTTACATTCATACACTGTTGAAAGGCAGCTTTAATCACCTTTTTGGTAACTTCTTGGCTTAACTGACAACAATACTATGACATTGCATGCTCGTAGTTTCATTTGCGCTTTAATATGAAATTATATAGGCTACAGGCAGCATGCGGCACTGCATTTGTGCTTGCAATTTGAAGAGCACGTGATACGAACACAGTGTAATGGCTGACAGGATAGGAAAATTTGGTTTTACTGACATATGGCCTGACAACATCTCATCCGACTGCAATTCACTGTTGTTCTACTGAAGCTCCCTCGTCACCTGTACCTTTTCTGTGCTCGTTTGACTAACGCCTGGCACTGAGGTGAAGTTGGAGTGCGCGTCTGAAAAGTCTTCCGTTTAATGTGGTCATAAAGATGTTCTGCGTCTAAATAAATGCAATTCTTGTCAAGAAAAAAGAAAGAGAAGCAGCAGTTGTGAGGGGGGTGGCCAACCCTAGCTCTGTTCCTGCGTTAATTGCGTAAAAATTTTTTTTAACATGTTAAACTTAATAAATTAATCGCATGCATTAACACTAATTTTGACAGCACTAATATATATATATATATATATATATATACACACACACACACAAACTCCTGTTCAAAAATTTGGGATCGTTATTTTTTTAAAACATTTAAATATAAGAAATTCATACTTTTATTCAGCAAGGATGCTGATGATCAAAAAGACATGTTGATCTTTTGAATTTTTTTTATACAATGTGAATATTTTGGTTTTATGCAGTTTGCATGTTGTTACCTCACAGGCAGGCAGTCCCTTTAGAGAGCCACTGATCAAATTCCTGACACGTCATCCGTCTCAAACAGTGGAGCTTTTCATGATGGAGGCCACTCTCAATGACCCACAGTGGAGTCGCATGTTCATGGTTTGTTTGTTTTTTCTTGTCCATACCTCATACTGTATTGTGTGTCTTTGTTTAAAAATTCCTTGCCATGATATCTTATGAGTGTTGCTTTTTCTTCAATTTTTTATTGTTTTCTCATTTGCAGAGTTTCTTGAAGCACAAAGATGCCAAGCCACTTCGAGATGTCTTGGCTTCTAACCCAAATCGATTTGTCCCTCTGCTGGTTCCAGCTGGGCCTGCAGCAACTGTGAGACCTGGGTCTCCCTCCACCAGTACTGCCCGCCTTGACCTGCAGTTCCAGGCCATCAAGGTGGGCCAAACACTCTTAACTGTTTACTCTTAAATTTGATGCAATTTGCTTGTTTGTAGAGCCTGAATATTAATGAGCATTCATAAACTCCCTCAGATCATAAGCATCATTGTGAAAAATGATGAAGGCTGGTTGGCGGGTCAGCACTCTTTAGTGAGTCAGCTCAGACGCGTGTGGGTCAGCGAGGCCTTCCAGGAGCGCCACCGCAAAGACAGCATGGCTGCAACCAACTGGAAAGAGCCCAAACTATTAGCATACTGTCTGCTTAGCTACTGCAAGTAAGTGTTTTCTGTTTGGTGGTTGCAGAAATTACACACTTCACAAGTTTAAAATGGAAACGCAATGTTTTTACTTTGATTTTTACACTAAAGTTGTACATTTCCTTTCAGACGCAACTACTCTGAGATAGAGCTAATCTTTCAGCTGCTGAGAGCCTTCACTGGCCGCTTCCTGTGCAACATGACCTTCCTGAAGGAGTACATGGAGGAGGAGATCCCCAAGAACTACAGCATCACACACAAACGAGCGCTCTTCTTCCGCTTTGTGGAGTTCAATGACCCACACTTTAATGATGAGCTCAAGGCGAAGGTGAGGATATACCATTTGTACACCTGTGAGTATTAACATGTTGAGAAGAAACTCCCATGAGTTTTGCCTTTGTGATGACCTCTCGTTTTTTATTAAGAGCCACCATGAGTGTGACTGATGCCATGACACGGACCTCCATGGTCAGTATTATAAATTCCACCTTTGCGGTATATTTCTGTTGAGAGTGGCACAGCGTCACGCTCTCTTAGCGCTGACCATCTAATGCGGCCAACAACCAGTCCCTGCTGAATATATATGCTCAAGATGGGGAGCGTGACAGGGACTGACCGTGCATGACGCACTCGGTTCTCAAAGGCACGTCTTCACAGTCAACCTGAAGTCTTTGAAGAACGCTAATGAATATTTATCTGCAGATTACTCTAATAGCCATTGCTCATATGCTGAGGGTTTGCCTTTAATCAGCCCTGGAGAAGATGGGTAACATAGTTGATGGAGCAGGGCTCAACACAAAGAACATTTTCTGCTAGCTCAGATGCAGCAGTAGTTTAGATTTTTGCTTTTTTTGGGTGTCATTTTCACTCACTGATTTTTTTATTTATTTTATTATTTTGCAGTTTTTGGGATGTTTGAAATGACCACATCACATAGTTTAATGTAGCATTTATGACAATGTTCCCTTCTTTGTTATTTCTTTTGATCATCCTTATTGTCTACACCTGTGGAGGGGTGTTTATAGTGGGCAAGCACTACATGGAGTATGACGCACTCGGTTCTCAAAGGCACGTCTTCACAGTCAACCTGAAGTCTTTGAAGAACGCTAATGAATATTTATCTGCAGATTACTCTAATAATCATTGCTCATATGCTGAGGGTTTGCCTTTAATCAGCCCTGGAGAAGATGGGTAACATAGTTGATGGAGCAGGGCTCAACACAAAGAACATTTTCTGCTAGCTCAGATGCAGCAGTAGTTTAGATTTTTGCTTTTTTTGGGTGTCATTTTCACTCACTGATTTTTTTATTTATTTTATTATTTTGCAGTTTTTGGGATGTTTGAAATGACCACATCACATAGTTTAATGTAGCATTTATGACAATGTTCCCTTCTTTGTTATTTCTTTTGATCATCCTTATTGTCTACACCTGTGGAGGGGTGTTTATAGTGGGCAAGCACTACATGGAGTACAAGGACCCACTGGTAAACGGGTCAGTCAGGATATTCAAGGCTGTGTTTCTTATTCCCACTTCATTTTTATTCATGTGAAAGAACTCCATCAAGTTGGAGAAGGAGATCAAATGGCAGTTTATTAAAATGAACTGGATGTTCCCCAACTTCCCCTCAAATTGTCACCCTTTGCAGTTTGCAATGACATTGAGAAACGGTAGCAGTGCATCGGCGGATAGTCTTCACAGCTTTGATGGCAGAGGCTGTTCTTGCTCTGCTAAATCACCCCTCACAGCAAAACAGACGTTGCATCCCAAACATTCCCCAGGAGAGCTCAGCAGCTGTGCGCACTCTTAACAGAATACATGTTTAAGGTGATGTTTTCAGGCAGCTGGAGTCGCGGCGGTTTTGGCTGTGATGGATCATGTAGAAAAGGATTTGTTGTGATCCATCACTCATGTGAACGGTAGAGGGGCTCATTAGGACGAGGGATAATGAAGGAACACCTGCAGCCCCACGGCCCCCATGTTTGAATAAATCCACATGCTGATGCACACTTCAGCTAGCAAACAACACAACCATTGTATCTGACTAGACAAACTATTGTCTTGAATAAAGCTAGTATTTTCCCATAGCTTAAATTACCAAGTGGTACATTGTTGACATGCTTATTAATCTTTGTGATTTTTCTTTCAAATTTATAGTGTAAAGCAGAAACAAAGCTATTAGTGTTCAAAGATGCTAATTATGTAACATACGAGCTGACAAATGGAAAGTCAAGGCTGGAGGAATTTTGAGCTTCTAAAAACATGGTTCATCAGAATGATTAATATCAGTTAACTTACAAATCAACCAAATCTGAGGTGCCATGTTGTGCCTTTCTCTCTCTCTTCTGTCATCATCACACTTTTTACTGGCTTTATCTATGCCGGCGCTGCCAAAGCAGCCCTGGTTTGAATAATTTAAGAAAATTCAATCAATGCTGTAAATTGCAACATGCTTAAAAACTATAAAGATTTACACACGTGAACCTTTTTCATTAAAGTTAACACAAAGCAAGAAGTAGAATTGTTAGCATATGTTTAAATGTACACTCACATAAAGACTCCAGTGGCCTTGAAAAAAACAGTTCATGTTATACATGAAGTAGGTTACCCATCATAGGGGCCACTATTCTGAGATGTCTTTCTATTATTATTATTATTATTAATGATGATAATATACAATTATATTTTTGTCATTTATATTTATATAATTTATTTTCATATAATGACATGATGTTTCTATGTCATGGTGTAAGTTTGGAGTCCAAGACCTATGGAATGAATAACAGGCAACATTTTTTTTTTCCTTGTACAATTATTATACTGCTCATTTGATAAACAGATATCTTCCCAGTTCTTTGATATCCTCAGTGCAAATACATAAATGTAACTTGTATGTTATTTGTTATATCTTATATGTTATGTGTCCACTCTCCAGGTGTTGCAGCACATCCTGAACCCAGCCTTCCTGTACAGCTTTGAGAAAGGGGAAGGCGAGCAACTGCTGGGGCCGCCCAATCCAGAGGGTGACAACCCTGAGAGCATCACTAGTGTCTTCATCACCAAGGTAATCATCTCCAGCAGCCCCAGCCCAGCACCATTGGCAATGCTGTCACTCTGTCTCCATCTAGGATGACCTCTGGCTGTTATTTCACTGGCAGAAATGTCATGGCCACAATAAAGGTCATAGTGTTTGTTTTTCAAGCAAACACAATGAGACTCAGAGGTGAAGGTTAATAGCCTTAATTTATTTCACGCTTAAATTGATTGTCTCTCCCCTGCTGCTAATCATAACAAAGGGTAAACCAAACAGTCCGTTTGTTCGCTGGGTTTGTTTTCAACATCTCCAGCAGGAAAGGAAGCTGTTCAAGTTTAAACAAACTTTTTTTTTTATCTGCTATATGTCACAGCTGTGGCCTCACAGCCCTAAAAACAATGCATCTTTTAGTGTTTTGTGACACATTTTCTCGTTATTGTAGGTCCTTGACCCTGAGAAGCAGGCAGACCTGGCTGATTCATTGAGGATCTACCTGCTTCAGTTCTCAACCTTGCTGGTAGAGCACGCTCCTCATCACATCCATGACAACAACAAGAGCAGGAATAGCAAGCTGAGGCGTCTTATGACCTTCGCTTGGCCTTGCCTGCTCCCCAAAACCTGCGTGGATCCGGCCTGCAAGTACAGTGGCCACCTCTTGCTGGCTCACATTATCGCCAAGTTTGCCATTCACAAAAAGATTGTGTTGCAGGTAGGCATGTACCAAAATTCCAGGCTGGCAAAAATACTATGAAATTATTATTTTTTTCTGATTTTGTCTGAACAAAGACAGGCATAAGATTATTTTTTAACAGCTGTAACAGAATCTTTGAAGTCTATGAATATTTTCCAGGTTTAATCATGTGTAATGTAATCACCAGCTGATTGATATCAGATTTGAAATTTCCAAATGTAAATGTAGGTACAAATAGATTGTAGAGTACAGATGTTGCTTGTATTATCTAAAAAAAAAAAAGAGAGAGAGAGATTGGTGTCTGTAACTTCCTGTCAAAATCGCAAAATTTTCAGCAGCCATTACTTTATTCTTCAGTGTCACATGATCATTCATTAGTCATTTTAATATGCTGATTTGGTGCTCAATTATTAATAATAGATCTTATTATTATCGTCAAACAGTTTATGAAAGCAGTTTTACTGCATAATATTTTTGTGGAATTCTTTGAATAGGAAGTTAAAAAGAACAGCATTTATTTGTAATAGAATTTTTTAAAATATATTTCTCTAATCTAGAAATTATGTATGTCTCTACATATATCAGTTTCAAATTTAATGCATCCTTGCTGAATAAAAGTATTATTTTCTTAAAATAAAAAAGTCTTACTGACCCCAAACTTTTGAATTGTTGTGGAAGTCAATATTACACTGGTAAAGTAATACGTTTTTCTGTTTTCTCATTTTTTTTTAAAAACCATTTAAAAATCATTAGAGCCTATATATTATTGTGATTAAAAAAAAAAAGACTAAAGACTAAAATGATAGGATTCAATTTTCTGCCAGTTTATCTAGATTTTTTTTGCTTGGGCCATGATGGAATTAAAATGTATTCAACAGCCCAAATCTTTAGGGGTTTATTTCTTCTTAATTAAGAAAATAACAACACATTTATAATAAATATAATTTCAGGCCTTTGTCAGATAAAATGCATTTCTAAAACCCAAATACTTCTCTTACCTCAACATTTCAAAGAGTACCTCCGAGCTTTTGCTACTCAAAGTTTAGTCTTTGGTTAACTCACTTCAGTGTCAACTTGTTCCTTTTGTGAAATGCTGCTAAATGTCAGTGTATCTGTTCTGTGCAGGTTTTCCACAGTCTGCTAAAGGCTCATACTATGGAAGCACGTGCCATTGTTCGGCAAGCCATGGCAATTCTCACACCTGCTGTACCTGCTCGGATGGAGGACGGTCATCAGATGCTCACACACTGGACCCGCAAGATCATTGTGGAGGAGGGCCACACAGTTCCTCAGCTTGTCCATATACTTCACCTCATTGTACAGCACTTCAGAGTATGTATAGTCACTTCACTCTTGCCAGTTATACTAACATCTCCCATACTGCAGTCAGTTTTATTATCCAGTATTCACATTATTAAATTTTTATTGCACTGCCTTAGGTATTAGTTTGCTTGGTAGACCATATAATTTTTTTTTTGTAGAGATTGCTTTGAGTGTATGTTTCTCTGCTTACAGGTTTATTACCCAGTGAGACATCACCTGGTTCAGCACATGATCAGTGCTATGCAGCGATTGGGCTTCACCCCTAGTGTAACTATTGAGCAGAGGAAGTTGGCAGTGGACTTAGCTGAGGTGGTCATCAAATGGGAGCTCCAGAGAATCAAAGACCAACAGGTCTGTTACCAGAAAATGAGTGTTCTTATTATAGAAACAGTGTTTTGGTCTTTTGTGATTCATTTAATGTAATTAAAATGTATTGTCCTTTAAATCCGGTCATTTTATTGGGTATGAAGCCGGAATCGGAAGCTGATCCAGTAAGTGTGGGCGAGGGCACGAGCGGAGCCTCTGGTGCTATGAAGAGAGGAATGTCTGTTGACACGGCGCAAGACGTAAAGAGATTTCGCACTGCTGCTGGTGCTGTCAGCACGGTGAGGAAACTTTAAACCACTCGCCGCAGCGAGGGTGACCACTGTAATCAGTCTCTTGCTCTCTGTGCCCTGATGGACCGTGCCATGTTTGAGTACATTGGCTGTATTGTGTTTGTGTTTGTATGTGCAGGTCTTTGGCCGCAGTCAGTCGATGCCAGGCACAGAGGCTCTACTTACCAAACCTGTGGAAAAACAGCACACCGATACTGTGGTCAACTTCCTCATCCGCATCGCCTGCCAGGTAGTTATCTCATATCTGCTTAGTCTTTCTGGGGTCCACTAATACTTACATAAGCTAACTTCTGCGCTGTGTCTGCAGGTAAATGATAGCACTAATGTGGCAGGCTCTCCCGGTGAGCTGCTGTCCCGTCGCTGTGTGAACCTCATGAAGACTGCCCTCAGACCAGACATGTGGCCCCGTGCCGAACTTAAACTGCAGTGGTTCGACAAGCTCCTTATGACTGTGGTAAGTCTGAAAGCTTGTGGGTTTTGGCTTCTTTTCTTTTATTCTTATATAATAAATTATTTATATAAATTTGAGGCTGCATGTGAGATTTATGAGTTCTTGCCTCATTTTCTAAAAGGAAACGGATAAATATCCAGACCAATGTTTAAAAAAAAAAAAAAACAGCAAATGGGATGCATGAAACTACAAATTCACTCTCTGACAATAGGTGTTAATCAAATAACACCAAATAAAAGAGTGCAGAAACAAGAGAGCCAGTTCTGGGATTCTTCCTCTGCTGTTCACTGAATCTTAGTAAATCTGCTTTGTTTGTGAGCGCCACCAAGTCATGGTTTTATGTAACAGCAGTGGCTCTTGCCATGCGATGAACTGCGAGAATCCTATTGGTTGGCCAGTTTTCTTCGCAGTGCGATGGAAAAGATTAATTGTGTTTGTGTCAGTCTGAACAGACGCATTAACAAGCGTTCATTCAGATTAAAATGTTTATTGCACCGAATATTTGTCTTTGTGTGAACAGGCCTTGAAGTCTTCGTCTGGAGAAAATCGCCATATCCTGTTCATCTCACATCCCTCTTCATTATCTCCAGTGCCTTTCCAAGCAGTTTTTATGTCAGCCAAATCGATATCCTCACTCTTATGAATGATTTTTCTTTCTTTGGAGTTCACTGGTGTGACTAACTCAGCTGTCATCTGAGAGAACAGCTTTCAGTTAGTGAGCATCCACCACCTGCACTATTATCACTGCAACCTCCCATCCCTCTCTCACTTCCTCTCTCGTTCCACCTGTTATCAGGCAATGGGCTTCCTGTCGTTCGGATGCACCACTCTATGGATTCTTTTCAGGGCAAGACAGTTATGCAGCTTTCTCTGCTCATGTAGGCCAGTGATTGAAATGCTGTGATATGGCAGAGAGACTGCATGCACCTTGTACAACCTTTTAATTTTCCCTTTGCTCATCCAAAGATAAGATCATGCCGCCTTGTCTTCCTGGGAAGTTCCTGCTTATGTATTCAGAACAATTAATGCTTTGGAAAAACTGATGTTTATAAGATGACTCCCAGTCTCTCTTATGCCCTCTTTTCGAACAGCCAGAGAAGCTGATGATTACCATCCTACCATCCCTTCCATCTTTATTTTCAGAGTGGGTCAATAACACTTTCTGTGACATGAGTTTGACAAACAGGTCACTCATCGTCCGTGCCCCAGAGCCCTGTTGAGGGAGCGAGGTGCTCTTTTCAGCTCTCTTAAACAAACTAATGACCAGTGCTGCAAATCCGAGGGGGTTTTATCATCTCATTGTGTCGGCTTGTCAGTGATTAAAGGACAGGCTGCAGGGACGAGCTTAGCTTTGTGCAAATCTGTCTGCCAGTGTCTCAGGGGCCAGATCTTGTTGTCAATATTCAGTGGCCCCTGAAACCTAATCAGCACTGGTTTTTATTCATTGTGCCAAGCCTGTGCATTACTTGACTTAAATGAGAGAATGAAGAAGTTTTTGAAAATTGAAGTTGCCAGTTTAAATGAATTTTAACAATTTGTGTGGGATCAGAAGTTTCAGTAGTTCAGTAAAATGTCATGATTCTCGATACCTCAGCATAAATGTGCCAGTATGCCATCGGACATGCTGCTTCATTTCAAAATGTTTCGAAAATGATGTAAGCATTGCTTCAGGTACTCAATAAAGTGAACAGGTGTTTAATTGGAAACAATAAATCAAACATACAAATGAAGTAAACTTGTGGTTTAAATTTGCTTTAAGTGCTTAAAGTACTCAAGTTAAATGGAAATGAAAGATTTTTATTTCAAGTAAATGCAGTTCTTTTGAACTTTCTATTCATCAAAGAACCCTCATTCAAAAAGTATCATGGTTTCCAAAAAATATTAAGCAGCACAACATTTTTCAACATTAATAAGAAATGTTTCTTGAGCTCATATCAGCATATTCAGCACATTATTTCTGAAGAATCATGTGACATTTAAGACTGGAGTAATGGCTGCTGAAAATTCAGCTTTGCCATCATAGCAATAAGATTTACTTTAAAATACATTAGAATAGAAAACGGTTATTCTAAATTGTACTAATATTTCACAATATTATATTTCACTATTACTATTTTACTGTGCTTTTGATCAAATAAAATTATCTTTGGCAAGCAAAGGAGAATTTTCTCAAAAACAGACATCTTACCAAAACTTTTGAACTGAACTAGTGTCAGTTCCTCTGCACCTCATCAATCCTCCTCTGTCTTTCAGGAGCAGCCAAACCAGGCAAACTTCTCCAACATCTGCACAGGGCTTGAGATTCTCAGCTTCCTTCTGTCAGTGCTGCAGCCTCCAGCCATTCTTGCGCACTTCAAGTCCCTGCAGCGTGGCATTGCAGCTTGCATGACCTGTGGCAACACCAAAGTGTTGAGGGCAGTCCACTCCCTCCTGTCCAGACTCATGAGCACCTTCCCCACAGAACCCAGTGAGTAGATCAAGCTCAGATTGATGATATCTTCTCCTAGAGACCTCATTTGAGCATAGCTGTGGATGTGTATGGTGAACAATAATTACGTCATTTGATTTGCTCGAGTGCAAGACACAGTCTAGACAGTCTAAAGGCCAGTATAATGGTCAGCAGCTGTTAACAGAAACATGCATTGGTTGAATCTCCACAGAGGTTGTGAAATAATAACTTTAGACACACTAGTGATTATCGACAACAGTATATGTTAAAGCCCCATTTCTGTAATTGGTTATCTCTTTATAAGATTGTCCAGGTTGTGCTAGTTTTTCCAATTAAAACTGTGGCAACTATGTACATTAAAACATTTTCTTCTAATATTTTGGTTTTTCTTTAGGCACATCCTCAGTGGCTTCCAAGTATGAGGAGCTGGAGTGTCTGTACGCTGCCGTAGGGAAGGTCATTTATGAAGGCCTCACCAACTACGAGAAAGCCAGCAGCGCTAACCCAACTCAATTGTTCGGTGAGAAAATGTAATAGCTCTACTACATGACCAAAGGGAGTTATTCTGGAAGATCTTCCCCAACATAAAATAGATGCTAAGGTTTTCAAAAAGCTCTCTTTTCTGTTATATACTAAGTATAGAATGCAAATCATATATTTATATACTTCATTGTAATTGTATAATTATTATTGCGTTTTGCACATTACTATTCAGAAGTTTTTTTTTTTTTTTTAAATGAATTACTACTCCTGTGCAGCAAGGATGCATTAAATTTCACAAGATTAGAGGTTTTTTTACTGTATTTTTGATCAAATAAATGCCGTCTTGGTGAGCATAAGAGGCATCTTTCTAAAACATTTTTAAAAAACCTTACCAACCCTAAACTTTGCAATAGTAGTGTACTTTAGTGTGGATACATTTCAGATAATATTTTTTATAATGGAACACTTAGTTGTTTCACAACTTAGTTCATCTTTAATTATATTTCATAATTGAAAACAAAAAGTGCTGAAACTCTATTGGATAACATTCTAAAGTTACCAGTGTTTCATTTCAGCTCAAAATGGCACCATTGTTCAATAAATGCCTTCAATAAATGATTCCGCTCTGGCAGTGCTCTAGAGTTACATTTACCACTGATGTACTGTATGTGTCTCCATCGAGGGTGACTTTTTACATTTATCTTTCCTCCCCATAGCTGTGATCTAAGAAATGCATTACTCATGCTTTTTTTGTCTCCATCCTTACTCGCTTAGATTTATCCAGAAACGCCCTTGTAATACAACTACAGGGACAAAGGAGCTGAACCCAAAGTCATTAGCAGGCGCATGTCGCTTGCTGACCCTGACAGTGTTGTGAGGGTAGTGGGGCGTCATGTTACCAGCTTCTCTCTCCTCTCTGCTTCCAGGAACGCTGATGATCCTGAAGTCGGCCTGCAGCAACAACTCCAGCTACATCGACCGCCTCATTTCCGTCTTTATGCGCTCCCTGCAGAAGATGGTGAGAGAGCACCTGAGCCCGCAACCCAACCCCGGAGCCGCTGAAACCAGCACAGGTGACCATTCTTTAGACTCTTGTGTCAAAGACGTTTTCCCCCAAAGATACATTTAAAATTAATTTCACCTTAGTGAAAAGTAGTTGAAATGGTCTATTATTATTATTAGGAACGAAGCACCTAATAATAATCTTTTTTTTTTCTTCTTCTGCTCTTATGTCTATGGTTGCACATTGAACTGCTTGCGGAAAAGTTATGAAATTTGGCACACAATAAAAGACAGTCTGAACATTAAACATAACAAATTTGGAGTCTCTACCTGTATGATTCGAATGCACCTTCTGACATCATTTTCCACAATGAAAATTTTTTCTCTGTTTGAATTTTCTGAAAACCTACATTTTTGAACCTTTGCTCAGATTTTCACGAAAATTGTATCGGATCATCTTCAGACCATGCCAACAAGCAGTTATGGAATTCAAGCTGATTAATCAAACTGTTCTCAAATAACATGCAAACCAATTTGATGATCACACCAAGATAAATGTGAGGCTGCATCTCTGCAACACTTTAGCACATTGAGACCAAACTTAGTGTTTTGCCGCAACCAGGCTACCTGGAGAATTTTGACACAGTACCACCTAGTGGTCTGGAGATATGAAAAATTGCTTTTTTTTTGCTTATAAATTCTAAACAGTTTGGCCATAATAGGCCAAACTTCCTGTTCGCCATTTAGATTTTCTTTAACTTGCTTTTCGAAATCCTCCTAGACTGTTGGTCCAATTTTTCACCAAACTGAACTCCGATCTTCTTCAGACCATGCTGTTAAAAAGTTACGGATTTCTCGTCTATAGACATAACTGTTTTTATTTACCACATCAACAAATTTGATGGCATGCCAAACTGCATCTGAGGCTGTATCTCTGCAAAGCTTTGACATATTGATTCCAAACTTTGTGACATTGTCACTCAACACTGACCATACCAGATTAATTTGGTGTCAGTGCCAACTATTGGTCAGAAGTAATATTGAGCAATTATGTCATATTACAAGTAATTGTATTTATGGGTTTTCAACCATTTTGTTTAAAATTGTCTCCAAATGTCTTCACTCGTTTTTGTAGTTGGTTTGATGCTCATTGTCATGCTTTTAGCTTCTCATTTTGCTTCCATTGTGCTTGGCCTCTTAATTGCTATTTGCAGCTGTATTTATTATTATTATTATTATTATTATTATATTTTTTTATTAAAATTGCATATTAATATTTGAAATAATAAAGTAATGATACAACCAGCATCCAGAAAAGAAAAACAGTTAATTGCATCATACAGATGACCCCTGCAGATCCTGTGTGTCAAGGTCAATAAGTCTCCTAAAATATATGATAATTTGACTTTATGATTTATCAGTCAACGTTTGTAGTCAGATTATAATCATTAGTCAGGTGGCATGAAGTGTGACATCCCAAAAACTTGTAATATTTGAGTTAGTAATTCATGATATTTGTAAAAGATAATACCTATTATCTTGAAAAATATGCTTAACTTGAATATGCAATATATTTTTAAAGAAATTACTTAATGGTTGAACCACATTATTTTTAGTCTTTGAAATGTAAAGTTTTCTTGATAATGGTATAAGTTTTTTATAGCCATAAGAAACCAAAATGAATACAAAGAACACATTCCTAAAAAAAAACTTTTGTTGATTTTTGAAAGATTTTTCTTTCATTGTGTACACTCTTATGGCATTGACCCACTAAGTAAATTTAAACAGAACAGGTACCACACAGGTCAGATCAGTTCTTATGTTGATGGCACTCAGTGGATCACTAAATCATCTGAATCGATCCTAATTGGCTGCTGTCTAGAAGCAACCATGTTAAGTTAATGAAATATAGTATGCTATACTCAATTTAGACAAATTTGTGCTTTAGCATTGGCCTCTTTCTGTCATTAACCCATTTGCGCTTGGTTAAGATCACTTCCTCCCTTCCAGGAGGCCGTTTTCAAGCCTTTAAAGATTTCAAGCTTGTCTTGATTTTGGATAGTATATGGAAACCAGCTGAGGTAGGTTGAGATCTATTGCTTTGTCTGACAGAACGGGTCCTCTTCCTCTTGGCCCAAAACTGACAGCCTGTCTTAAATTTAGGCTCTTGACAGTATGATGGAAAAATATACGCTCTTACTGGGACAGCTTTAATCCTGTTGTCTGCAGTCATCTGGAGGAGTTTAAAAAGTGGGCAGAAAGACAAAAAGACACGTTGTCACCTTGGAGCAGATTGAGAGAGAGAGAGAACCCTTAGACTTCAGTGTACGCTGTCCATGTTTGACCACTGGGTGCTGCAGGAGGGTCAAATGTTTAGAGACCGGCCCACAAATCCAACCATACTGAGAAACATCTTCTGTGATTGAAGTCAAAAATCTCCCACTGTGTCCACCAGAATATAAAATCCAGACAATCCCATCTGCTCAGTGCCTTCTAGATGCTATTATGGTTTTTAAATGGTACATGGAGATGGGATTGAACAGACACACACACATTCGCACACTTTCGGCCCTGCATGTCCTGTGCAGGCCTCACGCTGCAATGTCACCCTGACAGTGTCGCCCAAGACCCCCTCACAGCGTGAGTCAGCGGCGAACTGGAAATCAGCCTCTAATATATTCTCCCCCAAGGGGTCGACTCATCAGAACAATCACATTTTACCTTGAGCAAATCAAGCAGAAAATACATTCAGAGGCCAGACTAAACTGATAACCCGTCTCCTTTCTGCTACGGCTTTCCATGCTGTAAAACTCAATCACATTTCCCCCGCTTTCAGCAGGCAGACTTTCGTATTTTATGGTTCATATCCTCAGCTGTCTTTTACAATTTTTGATGTGTGTTCAATGGTTGTCTTTGAGATTCATGTAACATTTTGCTGTGTATGTGAGCCTGTGTGTATTTTTTTCCTCTTTGTTCGATTTGGAAAAAGATAGAAGTCCTGTGAACCTTAACGAAATGGAAAATAGTATTGCTGTCATGTAATCGTGCTCTCGTTCTTCTGTGTTGGCTGTAGTGACAAGCGAGTTGGTCATGCTTAGCTTGGATCTGGTAAAGGAGAGGCTGTCGGTCATGAACATGGAAATGAGGAAGAACTTCATCCAGGTCATCCTTACATCCCTCATCGAGAAATCTCCCGACCCAAAGATTCTTCGAGCTGTGGTGAAGATTGTGGAGGAATGGGTCAAGAACAACTCTGGCAACCCCATGGCCACCAACCAGGTAAATTTTCACAGGCTGCTGTATCAAAATATTAATTCACCTGGTGTCATAATATGAGGAATTTTCTTTGATCTTAGTTTAGATTATATTGTACTATGTAAACACACTGTAACAATGTTCCAAACTCAAAACTTTCCAAGTCCAGAAAGACTAAAATTAAGTAGCAAAGATGACACTTGAAAGTTGACTAGTTCAGTTTAATGTAGTATGTGTTTATCTTTTAGTGTTGTTGTTTTTTTTTAGAATTTTAATTAAGATTATGTTAAGATAACTAAATTTAAATAACTTTAAGACTTGTTGGGCTACCCTGGAAGTTAGCTGAGACACCCTTGTGCCTGACCCTCTGGTTGAAATGGTTCAAACCATGTGCTGTACTTGACCGCACATTCATAAGTTTATTTTTAACAAGATCTCTAATAATTTTAGTTTGATCTTGATATTTTATGTGGTACATTTTGGCATTGATTATTTTGTGATCGTGTCACAATGTAATGCCGACTTTGCAAAGAGGCTGTTGAATGATGGGGCAGTTAAAAATGCTAGTTGACAGCAAAGCAAGGTCAGGGAGAGGGAGGAAAGCAGTCATTATAACTAGAACTCAGGGAGCAGCGTTCAGTAATAAAAAAAAAAAGTATGACAAGACATTTTAAAAGGAACTTTAAATTTATGTATTTATTTTTTTACAATTGGTTGTCCAATTTAACAGAATGTGGTCTAAGATGGAAGAAAGCTTAAAGATTTAAGTATGTTAATTCTGTGCCACCAAACAGAATTGTAAAATAGTTACTGTTTTAAACAGGTTTTCTTTGGTCTCTTATTGATCTGATCAATATATAATCCCACCCCACATTCACGCCACTGCTTGAGCTAGTGTTGCTGGTTGAGATTCAGAAACAAGCAGGGCTATGTTTTGATAGCACCATAGTGCTTACAGTTCTTAGGGAAATCAACTACAAATTCAATTCAAGTTTATTTATATAGTGCTTTTCACGATACAAATCGTTGCAAAGCAACTTTACAGAAAAAATAATTTTTTTGCAGGAAGGAGCGCAATTGAGCAGACATAACTTTTTCAAAAATTTTAGACATAAACGGAAGATTGAAATGGGTCTGTAATTTGCCAGTTCACTAGGATCTAGTTGTGGTTTCTTAATAAGACGCTTAATTACCGCCACCTTGAATGGTTTTGGGACATGACCTAAAGACAACGACGAGTTAATAATATTGAGAAGCGGTTCTTCTGCTACAGGTAACAACTCTTTCAGTAATTTAGTGTTATTTTACATTTTTCTGGTTTAATCACTATCAGATTTTTTCTAGATCCTGCATTACATTTATATTTTGACCTCACTATTCGGGGAACAGACACAGTCTTTATAGATTGTACAGCGTAAGTACTTCTATCATTTAGGCGGGTAGAACAAAAGTCATCATGGCAGTTATTTGAGATTTGACTTACTAGTCATATGGAGCGTAGCGTCCTGGAGATGTTGTCCGACAGGAGTTCCGCTCCGACTCTGCTGGGGTGCAGGCCATCAGTGCGAAAAAGCCTAGGACGCTCCCAGAAAATATTCCAATTATTAACAAAGAGCAGTTTCTGTTCTTTACACCATGACAATAACCATTAATTTAAAGCAAAATGTTTACCGAACCTTTCGTGTCCTCGTCAATACGTGGGAAGCGGTCCTGACACGATGATCGTCGTCGCGGGCGATGTGCTGCGCACCGTCTCGATCAAGCTCCTGAAGTCCCTCTTCATTGTCTCCGTCTGCCGCAGCTTGGTGTCGTTAACCACCGCGTGAAGCACGACCACTCGTGCAAATGGCTTAGCCTGATTGATATTTCATGCGTTATTGATTTAACATGGTGTAATTGTATGATTTCCATTTCTGTAGACTTGCTAAACCGCACAATAGTAAACCAACCTTTTGTTGACTCTGAATACACCAGCGTTAAACATTTGAGCTCAAAACCTTTCCTGCTGTAAATGAGGCATTGTGTATTCAGTGCGCTGTGGCCCGAGCAGCTGATCCCAGGTGTCTGTTCTGTTAGCCCAAGGCGAGAGAGCAGACAGGGAGGAAAAAGGAGCAGAGCAAAGTTCTGCACAGCTCTCCTGATAGATGAAAGATAAATGGACTTTATCAGTCTGTTACCCCCTTCTCCTCCTCAGCTCTCCTCTTTCAATCCCCTTCCTTTCTGCTTTTTTACTCTCTCTCTCTGTCTTCGCTTCTCTTTCCTAGGTGCCTAATCCAAGAGAGAAATCCATTCTGCTGGTGAAAATGATGACCTACATTGAGAAGCGCTTTCCTGACGACCTTGAATTGAATGCCCAGTTCCTGGACCTCGTTAATTACGTCTACAGGTAATTACGCCGATTAATCACAGGGTCCGCTGGCCGTGCTGGCCTTCCATCTATTGCCATTATCAACAAGACTCTGGCTGGTGGGTGGTAGGCCCCATTTTGATTGCTAAAGTTGGCAGCTGAGGTGCAATTTGCATTAGGGGTTACCATCACCCTGGGCAAAAGAGCATTTCTCCAGCGTCAGGAGCAATTCATCCTGGTGAGAACCCATAGGCTTAAAGGATTAGTTCACTTCTGAATTAAAATTTCCTCATAATTTTCTCACCCCCATGTCATCCAAGATGTTCATGTCTTTCTTTCTTCAGTTGAAAAGAAATTAAGTTTTTTGAGGAAAACATTCCAGGGTTTTTCTCTATATAGTGGACTTCAGTGGGGTTCACTGGGTGGAAGGTCCAAATTGCAGCTTCAGTGCAGCTTCAAAGTGTTCTGCTTAATTCTGCGTGAACATGCAACACGTGAACTGCGTGTGCATTCCGGTTCATGACAGTTAGGGTATATCGAAAAACTCCCATCTCATTTTCTCCTCCAACTTCAAAATCGTTCTAAATCGTCCTACATCGCTGTTTTACCATTTTTTATAAAGGGCATTTGACCTTCTTTGCACGTTCACTTTGTAAACACTGGGTCGGTACTTCTGCAGCAATGTAGAACGATTTTGAAGTTGGAGGAGAAAATGAGATGGGAATTTTTTTTATCCTACCCTAACTGTTTCGAATGGGACTGCACAGAGTACGCATGCGCATTGCAGAGCTACACAAGACAAACATTTGAGGTTAAAAAGTATATAATTTTTATTCTTTTTTAGAAAATGACCGATCGTTTCGCTAAATTATGAGGAAATTTTAATTCAGAAGGGAACTAATCCTTTAAGTCAACAGCTCTAGTTGTATCTATGCTGGAACACCTGCAGTCCTTAATAGCTGTGGTTTACTAAAGACCCGCCATGTTGTTTATTGTCACTCTGCATTTCATGCCATCTCAGAAGGTAAACACAACACCAGTCTTGCAGCATTTGTCTAAAGCACTTTGGTATTTGTTTTTTTCAGAGATGAGAACCTCTCAGGAAGTGACATCACATCCAAGCTGGAGCCAGCATTCTTGTCAGGGCTACGCTGCACCCAGCCACTGATCAGAGCAAAGTTTTTCGAGGTGTTTGATGCATCAATGAAGCGGCGAGTCTATGAGAGGCTTCTGTATATTTGCTGCTCGCAGAACTGGTATATAAATTGGAATATATTATACAATAAAAAATATAGAATTAATAATATTGTAATATTATTTAATTTTTCTTATAATTTGTAATATTATATAATTATATAATAAATGTATTTAAATCAACTGTTTCATTTATAATTTCTGTGATATAACATTGCATGTCACACCGCAGGATATGTCTACAGAATTTTTTGAACATTAAAAAAAATAAAAAATAAATGCCAATATATCGTACATCTTCAGTCGTGTTGTCCGCTCTATGCAGAGTGGATAATACTTCATAATTATGCACATGCTTAAATTACACAGAAGCTAATTTCACCTTGCATAGCAGTTGTATGCATACTGTATCATTTTAACGTCACAGTTTTCCCCTTAATGATTTTATCAAAACTTCAGCTGGATTTGAGATAATTATTCTTTTGGTGTTAATACATTCACCATGATGTAACAGCTCTGGTTTTTACCTGCTCAAGTCAGGTCACAATCCATCCATCTTAGCCACAATCAATGCTACTCTGGCTCTTGAATTATTAACGCTGTCCTACACGTGGCGCGGCTGTGTGCACGAATCAGCCTGCCGTGATGGAGTAGAAGAATATTCACTGTTGGAGCTCTGCAGCCAGTGTCAAGCATTTAGATATATATGCGCTAGGGGTTAAAATGACAGCTGTTAAACAATGCTGGCTCATGCAGGCGTCATTTATGTTTGAATGTTAGCTACTTTCTTCACAGAAGGAGCAGCTGTTTGCTTGTATGTTTTAGGAATCGTGGCAGTTCAGAGTTTGATTCTGTCGTCTCTGCTTCACAGCTGCTGTTGGCGGTCTGTGAGAGGAACACCACCATTGGCACCAGCTGCCAGGGCTCCATGCTCCCCTCCATCACCAACGTCATCAACCTGGCTGACAGCCATGACCGTGCAGCCTTCGCCATGGCAACGCATATCAAACAGGAACCTCGTGAGAGAGAAAACAACAAATAAAAAAAAGAAGATAGAATAGAAAAAATAGAAAGCTGCTAGTTTTTTTTTATAAAAAAAGAAGATAGATAAAGTAGAATTATAATAGAATAGAAAATGAGTTAGAGGGTCAAATAAAGATGGAACAGATGTGTTTTTAGTCGTTTCTTGAAGATGGCTAAGGACTCAGCTGCTCGGATTGAGTTGGGCAGGTCATTCCATCAGGAGGGAACAGTTAATGAGAAAGTCTGTGATAGTGATTTTGTGCCTCTAATGCGTCGTTCACTTGCAGAACCGCAAGCTTCTAGAGGGCACATAACTCTGAAGTAATGAATTTAGGTAAAGGGGTGCAGAGCCAGTGGTGGTTTTGTAGGCAAACATTAATGCCTTGAATTTCCTCCATCACCAACGTCATCAACCTGGCTGACAGCCATGACCGTGCAGCCTTCGCCATGGCAACGCATATCAAACAGGAACCTCGTGAGAGAGAAAACAGCGAGACCAAGGAGGAGGTCAGCTGTGCCATTCAGTGTATACAAACATCTGTACAAAAAGCTTGTTTTGTGCCTTTATTGCCTAATTTAGCCGACTCTAGTATCAATTTCTGATATATAGAGAAAGTTTTAATTACATTATCACAAAAGTGATGTGATCATCAATGATCTATTTCTATTATTTTTGATCATTTCTATTTCTGATTATCTATTATTTTTTGTCCTAAAATTAAAAAAAGTATGGAAATTACCAAATTACCATTACCATGAAAATTAAATATAGAATACATTTTAATATATATACTCTAATAATCATATGAAATGCCAAATACATAGAAATGCATAATATAAATTTACGTTTACATTTAGTCATTTAGCAGACACTTTTATCCAAAGCAACTTACAAATGAGGACAATAAAAGCAGTCAAATCTAACAAAAGAGCAACAAAAAAGATAAATATAGATAAAGTAGAATTATAATAGAATAGAAAATGAGTTAGAGGGTCAAATAAAGATGGAACAGATGTGTTTTTAGTCGTTTCTTGAAGATGGCTAAGGACTCAGCTGCTCGGATTGAGTTGGGCAGGTCATTCCATCAGGAGGGAACAGTTAATGAGAAAGTCTGTGATAGTGATTTTGTGCCTCTAATGCGTCGTTCACTTGCAGAACCGCAAGCTTCTAGAGGGCACATAACTCTGAAGTAAGGAATTTAGGTAAATGTGTGAAGAGCCAGTGGTGGTTTTGTAGGCAAATAATAATGCCTTGAATTTTATGCGAGCAGCTACTGGTAGCCAGTATGGCTAATGTAATGGCATCTAATTTTTCTATAAATACTCCTTTGGTTTGTTAACATGTTTATAATCTCATGATATCAACATGTCAGTAATTCTTTCTTGAAATGTATTATTTAAAACTGCATATACAGTAGTTATTCATATTTAAATTTTAAATCTGTGTCCTGTGCCCTACCTCAATTCAAATTCAGGAATTCAAAGGTGTTTTCAGTTCACTTCTAAATGGCACGCAACTCTGGAGTTCATGGAGGCCTGTTGTAAGTGAAGCAAGTTAACATTTTGTTTTTCCCATATTTTGAAACCTTTTACGTCTGTAGGATGTGGAGATAGACATCGAACTGGCACCTGGTGACCAGACCAGCCTCCCTAAGACCAAGGAGCAGGCGGAGAGAGATGCAGGCAACCAGCTGCACATGCTCACCAACCGCCACGATAAGTTCCTGGACTCCCTGAGAGAGGTCAAGGTGAGCCATCACCTCAACATATGCTGCCCTCACGAGTGCACCCCTTAAGCATTAGGAAAAATAAAGCAAAACTTAAAAAAAAAAATACACTGGTTACATAAAGGACACATGTAGGAATGAGTCACATGCAAAAGTTATACAGGCTTTTGAACAGTGTAGTTTAATATGTGCCTTTGGTTCTGGCTCCTTTCATCTCTAACCTGCTCTTCCTCATTTGGCTGCTCCCTCATAAGCGTCTCTGTTAAAGAGAGTTTGATCAGGGCAGCATGGGATTCTGTCTCTGAGTTCTTTGAGGTCATCGCGTCATTGATTTCTATTTAATCCTAGACACGCTGCTGCTTTATATACACCTCTCAAGCAGGCTTTAGATAAATGATGAAGTGAGGAGTTCAAAGCCCTGACCTGCCTGCGTTGCCCACCGGAGCCGCTGTCAGGAACCACAGCACACATTTGAGTTCTGACTTATGCTAACATCTCCATTCCTCTTGTGGTCAGAGGTCCAAACCTTTACGTGCAGTCATGCCCTAAGAATTATTCAGTGGCAAGAGGTGATGACCAGTCATGCTTATGAACGTACAGTGATTCCTTATGAAAATACATTTTTAAAAAGGAATAGTCTCTTTTGTCCTTGAATGTCTGGTGTCATGAGTAAAGATGAAATCTTATTATTTATTAATTTTTTGCTGCAAACGTGACATGATACATGTAGAAAGCAAGTGTGTATCACAGTGTCAAGAATAGTGTGTATTAAGCAGGGTTTTATAGTTAGCTAAAACTAAAACCATATCATTTTGTTACTTGAAATAAATGTTAAATTGTATAGAATATATATATATATATATATATATATATATAAATATAAATTCAGCTAGTTGTTCAGGCAACGTATCTCATTTTCGTTTAGTTTGACTTTATGTACTAAAATAACTAAAACAAATTTAAAAAAATGAAGTTTATGTAGATATTTAAGAACAAAAACTAATAAATGTTCATTAACAAAGGTGTCCTGGTAGACTTTGGAACTGAGACAAGGTGCATATATATATATATATATATATATATATATAAATATAAATTCAGCTAGTTGTTCAGGCAACGTATCTCATTTTCGTTTAGTTTGACTTTATGTACTAAAATAACTAAAACAAATTTAAAAAAATGAAGTTTATGTAGATATTTAAGAACAAAAACTAATAAATGTTCATTAACAAAGGTGTCCTGGTAGACTTTGGAACTGAGACAAGGTGCACTTCTGTTAATCGGCTGAGCTGGCACTGTTATCAGCCAATGCGATAATCTCAAGTGGCTAAATGTCGGTTGATTAATGGCCGATATATATTGCCTATCTCTAAATGAGTCTCCTGTGTGTGTAATCAGACGGGAGCACTGCTGAATGCACTGGTTCAGTTGTGCCACATCTCCACTCCATTGGCTGAGAAGACCTGGGTCCAGCTCTTCCCCCGCTTATGGAAGATTCTGTCGGACCGACAGCAGCATGTGAGTACTTGACTTTCCCAGTTCTCCAAAGAGCTGAGCTGACAGTTGGCCATTTTCCTCTAAACATTTTCCATGTCAATGCAGCGTATGACTGCTGCTCATTTTAACTTGACCTTTGTTATGGTTAAAGTGTAGACTGCATGTTTTACAACTAATAATGCATATCACTGCAGAATCGGCATGCAAAATGTGTGTTAATGGTGTCGGATGTTGTGCCTATCCGCTCATCTTGGAGACCTTTGCACGGGTGGGGGGTATGGCGGGCTGTCTTTCTGCCCCTGCCACTGAACTTAAACAGGCAGCATTTGCTAATGAGCAGAAATTAAACCTTTTATGCAAATATCAGAGTTGAATGGACCAGATGTCTTAAGTATTAGAATTCTCATTAAAGGGCTTTAATTTGGAGTGACTGAGGCTGTAGACTATTACAACATGCATTCAAAATAGAAATCTTCCACTTCGTAGCTTTTTATTGTAGGAGGTATAAAAACTAGGACATATTTACTGCGTAAGTTTTTTCCTGCAAATAATAGTAATCCAAAAGTCTTTGTGTAACGTGGGCTATTTTTCTTTAGAGTTGGCATTCCTATTGAATATTTATAGCAAATTCTTGTTGACGTTTGGTGAGGAACTACTTTCCTACATTTCATTTTAAACATTATTGTAAAGTTCTCATCAAAGTCATACTTTAAAAAAAAAAATATATATATTTTATTGTAGTAGACCGTATTAAAATTCAGGCTGTTATTAAACTGTTTGACAATCTGTCAATCAAATCAGTTCTTACATTTTTTTTTTTTTCTCATTACATTTGTAGTTTATTTTTATTTTTATGAATTTATGGTATGGATATTCATTTTGAGGTTTGCTGAAGATTACTTGTAACAGCATGTTTTTTAAGTTGAACTAGAGGGAGCAAGTTTTGATGGCAAACTAAATATAAAAATAATGGAAATCAACATGAATTATTAAATATCCGATGCTGGATTCTGACAATCAATAAAAAAAAATTATCTGTTTTTCTCTCTAATTTTGGTCTTATGTATCCATTTTTGAAGGCAATCTCAGGCGAGATGGGTCCGTTCCTGTGTAGCGGTAGTCATCAAGCTCAGAGAGATTGCCAGCCCAGTGCTCTAAACTGCTTTGTGGAGGCCATGTCTCAGTGCGTGTCGCCCATAGCCATCAGGCCCTGCGTGCTGAAGTACTTAGGAAAAACCCACAATCTATGGTTACGCTCCACCCTGATGCTGGAGCAGCAAGCCTTTGAGAAAGGCCTTAGCTTGCACATCAAACACAAACAGAGCACAGAGTTCTATGAGCAAGAAAGCATCACTCCTCCACAGCAGGTACACTGATGCATGAGCCCTTCTTCTTTGTTTGTTATTGATATTCTTGGCAGAGGAAGTTTTGTGTTCACTCAAAATGAACTTGTGTGCTGAATTTCCAATTGGCTTTGTTTTGACCTGTCAGTGAGTTCAGTTTGAAGTATCCCAGCATTCAAGCTGCTTATGCTAAGCAGTCATCTCACTGGGACACCTCTGAATATGGATGTGTTTGTCCCCTATATTCTTTGAAGATGTGTTCTTGTATTCCCTCAGGAGATCCTAGACTCGCTGGCGGAGCTCTACTCCCTACTGCAGGAAGAGGACATGTGGGCGGGGCTGTGGCAGAAAAGATGCAAGTTCCCTGAGACGAGCACCGCCATTGCATACGAGCAGCATGGCTTCTTTGAACAGGTGAGAGACTGAAGTGATTGTATCGCCATGCATGTTTTTGGCAAAATTTGAATGAATAAATCAAAAAGAAGGGCTGCACAGTTGATCAAATCATGATATGGACTAGTGTCTATAAATATTACACCCTGTCCTCACTTCACGCAACACGATGCCGCAACACACAATAAAAGGTATCTTTTCCGTATTAATCTGAGTTTTTGTCCTAACCAGCCGCGACGAGTTTAATGTCAGTTTAAATGTATTGCATGACATTTATAGACATACTGAAAGCAACAACAGATAGTTTACCTCAGATCTTGAAAATAAATTAAAGCAAACATGTAGGTTAAAACTGCGAGCCCAATGCGAACCAACAAGTGCTTTCCATGACAAAGATGGTATCAGTCACTTGTACTTTTAATAATGTTAAAAAGGTTTAATATTTATGAATTAGATTATAAACTTGTCCATTTCATTGGGAGTGCAGTGCACTTCTGCACTTTTGAATGGCTGTGATATTAGAGTGATTCTGTCTCGCCGTGTCGAGTTTAGTGTGGACAGCAAATTGCTTGTCGCTGGAATCTCGTCGTGTCGCGTCTGGTTAGGACATGGTGTTAAACTGCAAAAAGGCTGTTCAAATTTCATGTGTTTACATTTTAAAGGATTAATTACATTGTTAAAGTTCGTCCCTATGAATTGTCCCTCTTATATTTTAAGATGATGTAACAATAATGCTGGTTCCATCATCATTAGGCTCAAGAAACCTATGAGAAGGCAATGGAGAAAGCTCGCAAAGAGCACAATGTCTCGCCCGCCATCTTCCCAGAGTACCAACTGTGGGAGGATCACTGGATACGGTGAGTTGAATGGCCACAACCCAGGCAACAAAATCACAACCAATAAGACACCATTAAGATACAGCTGTGTGGAATAGGATTTCGGACTAGTAACCAATATGATTTGATGGTGCAAATGGAACCAGAAGACCAACAGAGACTGACCAAAATTACACTCAAAGTTTTGTTTTGCATTGCTTAGGATAAAAACTGTTTTTTTCCTAAGTCAAAATTTATAACACTTTATAAATAAAGTCTCAAATTCAGTTTTTGTCCGCCACACACACATTTAATGAAATTCATAAACAGTCTGGACTGTCTGTTAAATTCTAATGTAATGTAATACAATAAATCTAAGTGTTACATTGATTTCCAGTTGTTCTAAAGAGCTGAACCAGTGGGAGCCTCTGACTGAGTACGGGCAATCTAAAGGCCATAACAACCCATACCTAGTGCTGGAGTGTGCCTGGAGAGTGTCTAACTGGGCTGCAATGAAAGAGGCTCTAGTGCAGGTAAACTCAGTACCACACTCCAATCAACACAGACAGGGTTTTAAAGTTCATGTCTGATTGTACATGTTTTATTTGAGGAAATGTGTACTTGATCTGAATACTTGTGAAGTTCACAATCAGTCTATAGATACATACACTACCATTTAAAAAGTCTGGAGGCAGTAAGATTATTTTAATGTGTTTAAAGAAGTCTCTTATGCTCACCAAGGAAATTATTTGATATTTGATAAAAAATACAGTAAGTTGAGTTGAAACTAAGTAAGTTGAAACATTAATATTGTGAAGCATTATTATAATTTAAAATAACTGTTTTATATATATTAAAATGTAATTTTATTCCTTTGAGGGCAAAGCTGAATTTTCAGCAGCCATTACTCCAGTCTTCAGTGTCATATGATCTTTCAGAAATCATTCTAATATGCCGATTTGCTCAAAATTGACAACATTCAGAAAAAGAAAACGTTCAAAAATAGATTTGTGGAAACTACTAAATTTTTCTTTTTCAGAATTCTTTGACTAGAAACCGCATTTATTTCAAATAGATTTTGTGACATTCTAATATATACTGTATATATATTTATAAGTGTATATATATATATAAATAAAAAATACTTTTCCTAAAGTGAGTTTTTTTTTTTTAGATACTGGATTTTATTTGAGTAAAATTTGCACACACACTTCCAGCCTAGTCAGATAACCTAAAACCATAGTTATGACTTCACTGTGACACCTCAAATTATTATTGGAGTTTCATCATATTGCAGAATGTGAAAGCGCACTCCTTTTATTATGCCGAAAGTCACAATCTAACTGTGTTTACAGGATTGTTTATGACTGTTCAAAATTGTAGCCTTGCCGTTGCTGGGTAATTTATGGGCTTTACTTCTAAAACAAAGTAGAAAAAGTGTGTGATGGGGCTGGACACATTATAAATACTTTTGGCTCTTGTTCAAGGAGACTTGGAACGAATCCATTCAGGTTTCTGTCCTAAGGTGACACCTAATTAAATTGTCCAGCCCAGCAGCCCTCTCACTCCTCCTCCTCCTCTTCCCTCTCCGTTCGCTTTGCATCTAATATTTACGGATATGTGCTTGAATAATTGCTCAAACATCTGCTGGAAAGTGATTTGTTTTCTCCGTTCCAGGGCAGGCTGCTTGGCAGCAGCAGTTGCTCTCGGGAAGTTTAAATGTCCCCTCTTTCAATTAAATGCTGGTGGATAAGGCCAGCCCTGACGCAGGTTTATTTATCAAATGTCGGCCATGATAAGCATGCACTGACCAAAGGGAGTAAATCCCTCAACATCGTCATACTGCACAATGCCAGCAACCTGTACCGACTATTTATTCTCCCTACGACCACCTTTTTAGCTTGAATTGCAGTGTGCAACACCCACTGTGGAATAGGATGACCAGATGACCATGAGCAAAAACTGGGGCACACATGCTGCTCAAATCATAGGGATTTAAGTTTAAAATCATTGTTCATAGCAGTCAAATGGACAACAAGATTAGTGTCCCATAACATTCAAAAGTTGGAATATATATGTATATATTGTATTATATAATATTGTATAATATATATGTATCTATGTGTGTATATACTGTATATATAAATAACAGAATGAAGTATGAGATTTGCAAATCATTGCATTCTGTTTTTATGTACACTTTACACAGCATTTTTGGAATTGGGCTTGTTTATATAAATCATAATATATGAATCAAAAAATTCAGAAAAAAATGTGTCATGGTTTCCACTAAAATATTAAGCATCCCAACTGTTGTCAGCATTGCTAACAATAAGAAATGTTTCTTGAGCACCAAATCAGCATAATATAATGATTTTGGAAGGACCATGTGACTGAAGACTAATGGCTGCTGATAATCCTAATTTTTTAGGATTATCAGCCTTGATGAGCTTAAAAGACTTTTTAAAAACTTGAAAATAATTTAGTGAGTGGAGTGTTTGCTGATACAGCTGTGTTTCTGTGTGCATCAGGTGGAGCTGAGCTGTCCAAAGGAGATGGCCTGGAAGGTGAATATGCATCGTGGTTACCTGGCCATCTGTCACCCCGAGGAGCAGCAGCTCAACTTCATTGAGCGGCTAGTGGAGATGGCCAGCAGTCTAGCCATCAGAGAATGGAGGAGACTGCCGCACATTGTTTCTCACGTGCACACGCCCCTGTTACAGGTGAGGACCATCAGTGCATGAGCTGACAAACACCCTTTAACCAGACGCTCTCCAGCTGTAATGTAATGTTCTTGATGGTTTTTCACTTTTTCAAACAGGGCAACTCAATCAGAGCACCACTAGCGAGCTAATCTAAATAAATTGTCAATTTTAAATAATGATATCTCAAAAGCAGAACATCTGGTCAAATATCTCAGCTGACAAGCATGAGACTCGGGCAATCTCATTTTATTTGTGAGCGTGTGACTTAATGCAAACCCTTGTAGCAGAGCGAGTGGTTAGAGCTGACACTTTACTTATAATTGCCTTTTTCGCTCTGCATTTTTGCACAATAACTTATTTCTTTATCAGACCTGGTCCCTTCTTCCTCCCTCCCTCCTTCTTTTTGGCCCTTACTAAAATGGCTAAGATAGTGTTGACTGCACCATTGTGGTGCTCAATAGGCAACTTGTATTAATATTCAGCGGAAAGAACAGCCTCCTGACTGCCACACGCATAATCAGGCAGAGCACACAATGGGACGGAGCTGAGGTGATGTGTGCCTGTAGATTAGGGTAATGTGTGAGAGCTGTCCATGCACCACATCCTCTGGGGACTGTTAGAGACTCTTTTGAGCTCGGCTGTGGTGAGATGGCAAATATGACAGCCAAATTGAGGAAATGAGGTGTTGTTGGAGACTATGATAATGCCACACAGGGTGTTATGGGTAATGGCTGATGGTTCTGTGGTCTCTGCATGATTGAAGAGTTGTATGTAGTGGATGTGTTTGGAACATCTTGAATACATGGGATTTTTGTTGCTTTATACTATTAGTAAATAGAAAATGCAATACTGTGTCTTATTCTTAGCATTTTATTTTAAAAATGTTTTAAATAAAACTGTAATTATTAAAGGGTTAGTTCACCCAAAAATGGAAATTCTGTCATTAATTACTCGCCCTCGTGTTGTTCAAAACCCGTAAGACCTTCGTTCATCTTCGGAACACAATTTAGCGTGCGTTCACGACAGTACCATGACGCGAGAAGTATTCTCGTAGCTTCGTAACTTTACAGTTGAACCACTGATGTCACACGGACTACTTTGTCGATCATCTTGGTACTTTTCTGGACCTTGAACGTGGTAGTTACCTTGCTGTCTGTGGGAGAGGCAGAGAGCCCTCAGATTTCATCAAAAATATCTTAAATTGTGTTCCGAAGATGAACGAAAGTCTTACGGGTTTGGAACAACACGAGGGTGAGTAATTAATGACAGAATTTTCATTTTTGGGTGAACTAACCCTTTAATAATTTTGATACAATTTTAGATTTGTGTTGTTTGTTTCTTGGTTCATTAATTTAGTTCATTATCATAAGTTCATTTATTTTTCTCTGTGGACTGCTTGCTAAAACGGAGAAACAAACAGAACATACTATGACACAGTTATACACTTTTTTTAAATTTTTTATAACTATTATCATTTTCTGAAGGAAATATCAGTGCTTGCAATACAGAAAAACATTAAGTGTCCAGACTTTTTACTACAAATAACCAGAAATCAAACTTGATTGTAGGCCGTGTGCTGAAAGATAATGTGGCATTATATCCAACAATATAATATAAAAATTTAAATTTTTTAATTCTCTGCATTTCAATGAAAAAATAAACAAAAGATATTAAAAAAAAAAATAGAAATGAGGATATGCTTCAGGCTTGTTTTTTTCCCTCCTCTTCTGATATGGCAAATATGAATTTAAAATGGAGAAAAGTACAATAGAATCACAATCACAATTCAGTATGCAAATGTGATGTCAGCACTGACAGTTATATTTTGGTCATTCAAAATTGTAGAGTTTATTAAATTATATATAAAAACAAAGTAAATAAATTCTGTATGTTTAAGCAGTAAGGGTTAAAGTTTAATAACTTATTAGTGTAGGTAAAGAACCGGCTGCTCTTAAAATGCATTATTGGCCACACTTTATTGGCTGTTTTAGCCGTGCATTCAGAAATGTAGTCTTTGCCCCAAAGTGTTTGATTTCAGTGATAATTGAATTTGCTGATAAATGAACCTATTTACACCTGCGCTCCTTAATGCAACCATACCGAAAAACCAAGTCCAATAAGAGTGATTGGAAGGGACGGGAGAGGCAGACAGAAGCCGTGAGACAGAGAGAGTGAGAACGCCACCAAGTTTAAAATGGCTCGTAATTACTTTTCCCCCATCAGATAGTGTTTGATTAAATACCTGCAAGAAAATTAAATTTACATGATGAATGGGCACTCAGAATGAAGGTTATAATGTGCCATCAGCTGATATTAACAGGTAATTGTGAAAAATATTGTATTGCTTCATTTATTTTGTTTTGGGGGGTTTTGTTTTGGCAAGTCCATAGACTGATTTGAGGCATTTATCTTGTAAAGCAGGCATTACTATTGAACGGGTGGCTTTTGGATGCGTGTGGCATAATTCATTATAACGGCTCAAGCTACTCATCGTGCGCATAGTAAACCATCATGTTGTAAATCACCTTGTAAGTGCCAGACTCCCTCCCTCACGTCTTTCTTTTCCAATTCACACAGGAGATTAAAGATCCATGTGGCATTTCGGTAAGAGTGCAGTGTGTTTACTGGCTGATATGTTAAGGTCATGCATCAGTAGTTTGTGAGGAATGGGTAGCATTTTTTGGGTCACCGTGGCCTGTGTCCTCTGCTGGTGTGGTCTGTGTCGTCTGAGAGCGTGATTAGGCATTAAGGGAATAGACGCTTCACTTGTGCGCTTCCTTCTCTCTGCCCATTCTCCGAGTAAATGGCTTTTAAGATACTTTGATCCATCCATTCGTTCAGCCACCTCGAGAATTCGTTTCTCTATTTCTTTTTCTTTCTCAATAGGAATCATAAGCCTGTAATACAGTCACAGGTATGGATTTTGTAGAGCTGTGTGTGTGTGTGTGTGAGATGTGGTTTCTCGGATGACTGTAGCCCTCAGAATTAAACTGAGCAGGCGCTTTAAAGAGATCTTGAGGATGTTGCATCTTCCTGTTGAATGTTTATTAACTACATTGAGATTCTCATCTGTTTATTCCTGGATTATTCTTATTCAGGCGGCACAACAGATTATTGAGCTACAAGAAGCTGCTCAGATCAATGCAGGCCTCCAGCCCGCCAACCTGGGCCGCAACACCAGCCTCCACGACATGAAGACCGTGGTGAAGACCTGGAGAAACAGGCTTCCGATTGTCTCCGATGACCTCTCCCATTGGAGCAGCATCTTTATGTGGCGGCAGCACCACTATCAGGGTATGCCAGGATATGGAGATGAATTCCAGACAAACTAATTATTATGTCAGCACTTTTGATCAAATTTATTTATTTTTTTTCTTCTGCAGCCATTGTGACTGCTTATGAAACCAACACGCAACATGATCCAAACACTAACAATGCCATGCTTGGAGTGCACGCCTCCGCATCAGCCATTATTCAGTATGGGAAGATCGCCCGGAAGCAAGGTCTGGTCAATGTAGCTTTGGACATTCTGAGTCGCATCCACACCATCCCCACCGTGCCTATTGTAGACTGCTTTCAGAAGATTCGTCAGCAGGTTAAATGCTACCTGCAGTTGGCTGGAGTAATGGGCAAGAATGAATGCATGCAGGTGAGTGAAGTGACCAAAGCATGACTGCATATTCTCTAAATCAACTAGTCATTGGGTTCCCCGAATGGCTAGTCATCTAATCTTTCTTAAGGATAACCTGTGTAATTGCAGTGGTTTTGGGGTCACCTGACCCCGATCAGATGCATGTCTTAGAGCATTCTGTATGCTAATGAAGCTTGTGAGTTCATGGGTTTTCTTGGGTTTCGCAGCAGGTTCTAGCTAGCCACATAGATTTGCCATTTGTGTGGCTATTGTGTGATATATAAGTAAAATGCTTTCTCATATGAGAAAAAAAAGTAGGACAGGACTAGATTTTAACCATTGAGAATTGATTGGATCATTGTTGTTTGTTAATTGTTACATGTGTGCACTGCACACGTCATCAGAGAATTATGTTGTGAGGGGAAGGAAAGTTCATTTTAATAAAGATTACAAGTGCACATGATTTAAAAAAAACTGCATGAAATCAAAAATATTGTCGATATGATTTCATGGTGAACATGAGTCAGTACTCAAAAACCAAAGACGGCCATCTGAATCTTGTATGGCTGTAGCAGTCTGAAGGAGAATTTAAAGATGCAACCTATAAGGAAAACTAAAAGTGGATGACTAGTCGTCCTTTTTGACAGATCTGTGCGGTTATATATAAGTTCATATTTTAAAAAAATTCTGTAATTTTTTACAACACTAAAATAAATTTGTACATTGTTTATAACCTTTATTTTTATCTTATCATCTAACTGAATAATGATTATCATTGCTTTTGTCAAACTGACTTCATCTATTCCTAATCTAGTTTACTTTGCCGACTCACCTGCTGATTTTGCTGTTAGCCGGACTCTCTTAATCCAAATAACGCTGCTCTCATTACAGTGAGAATGACTGCGGTGCTGTCACAGTAAGGAATGCATTCCAAACAGTGTAAGGAATGGGCTGCTAGCTGCAGCATTTGCTTAAGCCTGATTAATAGAGCTGCCTCAACTGAGCTCAAGTCATTAAAGTACCATTGGATTTAATAAGTCTCTCTCTCACTCTCTCAGCTATCACTTGGACCTGTTCTGTTCCCTTTATCATTTCTCTGGCACACTCTAAGCCACAGGTTCTCACCTGGGAGTCTTAGATTGAGCTACAGAGATGTCTACAGCAGATATACTCTGTTGTCAGTGGTGTTGACTTTTGATGTATAGGAATTCTAGTTCCGAAAACTACACATTGTCTGAGTCTTGGCAAAAAAAAATCATCCATTTCATAAATATGAAATATACTTTGAGGAATTTCAAATGCAATCGTTGTTATTGTGTTGTCAGGGTCTGGAGGTGATTGAGTCCACTAACCTGAAGTACTTCACCAAGGAGATGACCGCCGAGTTCTACGCTCTCAAGGGCATGTTCTTAGCCCAGATCAATAAGTAAGAGTTGATCCCTGGGTTTGTTCATCTTTTCTCCTTTTCTACCTGTCACTTTGAGTCTTCTCCTTATCGCCCTCATTCGCTCTTTCTTTGTCTTTAATTGACACAGCTCTCGTTATCTTTTGTTTTGTGCACGGGTCTTCGCACTGACAATAAAGAATCGGAAGCTGAGATCATTAAGAGCTCACTTTTTAAGATGAACAATTTCGACAGAGTCATTATGGAGAGGAAAAACAAACATCTGTGTGTGCCCGTGTGTTTTTGCCACTAATCATCACTTCTAAAACTTTAGGCCAATAACGAGGTCAGAACAGTCATTAACAGTCAATATGAGAGTATGATGAGTAATTAACCTTATATAGCATGACTGAAGCAGAGGATAATGACACTGAACTCATGATGAGTGATTATCTCCTATCATACTTCTATTGACTGGCATTTTCACGAGTCGATCAGCATTTCCTGGTGAGAATCTGTCATGTTATTGGTATACATCTCAGAATACTGTAGATTAATTTGTAGTGCAATCAAGCCCTCCCTCACGTCTTTCTTTTCCAATTCACACAGGAGATTAAAGATCCATGTGGCATTTCGGTATGAGTGCAGTGTGTTTACTGGCTGATATGTTAAGGTCATGCATCAGTAGTTTGTGAGGAATGGGTTTGCCATTCAAACAAACAGATGTGAGTCAATGACCTGACCCATAAGGAAACATGTAGTTTAAAATATTTTTGCCAAGTTCAAAGAAATACAATCTATTCTTGTTGGTTTCATATATTATTTGAGAGAGAAAAAAGTTATATTATACACTTATTACAACATTATTACTTTATTACTTTTTTTAAATATTAAGAATTGCATATCAAAGTGAATTTTAATTCACAAATTGAAAGGCTGTTTATCATAGAAGAGGTGAATTCAAGTGATTGTCACTATGACTTGCATTTTTATTAATAATTTAATATATCCAGACCAAAACAGATCATCATGTCATTCAATAATAAACAGATAACTACCCTCTTTTTTGCTACACCATAGCTCTATATCCTCTTTTTTTCTTTATCATGGGTGAATTGATGGCAAGCCCAGAGCCCGGCACTGGATTGGAATAGCTTATTAAATACACATGCTGAATAATTAACTCAATAGCAATATGTGAAATCTCTGTGATCAGCAAAAGTTTCCCCCAGCCTCAGCAGGGCCTAATGTAATCATTACATTTTCACTCTCTATTAAGTATAAACATAGGGATTTGATAAAGCAGTAGAGCTGTTGGAGGAAGATGTTTGACACTTGACTGGGCGTGGGGACTTATGTGCTCTCCAAGCCCGACTCTCGGCAAAAGCCATAAGCAGAAACATATTATACATGTCCAAGACTGACGTGACGCTTCAGTGGATTTGGGCTCCCCAGACTCCCGTTGCAATCAAGTGTAATTTTGTTGCTTGCCACATACTCATTAAAAGTTCCCATTATATGTGATTGGTTTAGTAGGTGTGTCGTAGGGTAGCATTTAGAGATGGTGATGGTAAGGACAGAGGCTTCAAGCCACAGTCCCATCCAGTGCTTTCAGTCCCTTATAAAGCCATTTATGAGCCTTTCTCAACTTCTATTCTTAAACTGCTTCTTCTATAAAGGGCCCTAGAAAAAAACGCTCTAGGGGGACAAATTCTCAAAGCTCAAAAACGGCCGATGAAACAAAATATTGGACCTGGTCAGCTAATTTCAGTTAGGTGCTGTAATACTGGATAGTTTTTAAAAGTTTTTTTCTGTCAGATACTCCTCAAATTTATAGTGAAATGCCAATAAGAAGCGGATATATAATTATGATAAAGTTTAAATGCCACCTGTTTACCAGTGCACCATTGGCAGATATTTTACTGATTTAAGCTTATTTCACCAAATTGCTCATATTCTTTGCATTATTGAGATTTCAAGATTGTAATGGTCAGTTGAATTGTCTCTTCTTCTAGGTCAGAGGAGGCAAATAAGGCATTCTCTGCTGCAGTGCAGATGCATGATGTTCTGGTGAAAGCCTGGGCAATGTGGGGCGACTACTTGGAGAACATCTTTGTTAAAGACCGCCAGCCCCACCTTGGTGTCTCCGCCATTACCTGTTACTTACACGCCTGCCGCCATCAGAATGAGAGCAAGTCACGTAAATACCTGGCCAAGGTACGATCTCTTCTCTCTTTTCTCTTCTGCTGACCTCTCTGAGTGACTGTGCCAAATGGTATAATTTAGAAATGTGTGTAAAACTGCCTAGTCTAGTGTTATTTCTATCTAGTGGTATACATTTTTTATGATGTCAAACATGAGCCCACAAATCAATATAACATATAATTTTATTTTATTTTCTACATTTAGAATGTTATTTACATATTTTATACCTTTAGGTTAACTGTATATTTCAGATAGTTAAAATATATATATTTTTTGTTTGTTAATGATGATAACACTTACAGCCTGACCTTTGCAACACTGCTGAAACGTTCAGTGAACTTTCCCATGGGTTGTGATCAGTGAAAGGAGGGAAGAAAGAACTACTGATCATTTGTGCTTTGTAATCTAGAGGGCAACATGTACTTAGTGTTTTTCTTGTCAATAAGAGGCAAAAATGGTTGGCAGAGCATGTCATAATGAGATAGCATCTTTTTTGACAGGCCTGTAATTAGTTTTACCATTAAACCCATTTCCCATAACACACAGGCAAACTCAGTGCTCATTTGTGGTCCAGTAAACCCATTCTGCTCTGATGGCTTTGTTAAATGGGGGCATATCTGTCACCGTGTGCCATTTCTGAATTAATGCAACTGCGGCAGGGGGGATGCACTGCATTCAGACTGATGAACCTCCAATGATGGATGCAATTATATTATTAGACCTGATGATGGGTTTTGTATGGATACTACATGTCAGTCTGCTCTCTGTTGAGTACTGTATGCTAGATCAAACAGCTCCATTTGGTTTTTTCCTTTTTTTCCAGTGTGGGTTTGACTGCGAGGAGCACTTTAGATTGTGTCCGGACTGCTGTTGGCCCCTAAAGCTTTAGAGACAGTGGCGTAGTTTACACATGATTAATGAGAGTAGCTGCTCGCTGATTATCAGTAATTATCCATAAGCCGTGTAGCCCAGGCTGTCCAGTGCTAAATGTCTCCATCAAGCCTCAGCAGAGATGAAGGTTCATCTGTTACCATCCCACCAGCCACCATAGCAGAGCCCCACAAACAATAGCAAGAGAAGACAGCACTGGTGGGAGTGAGGCGGCCGAGATGATTTTACAAGCCATTAAGCCCTGGAGTAGCTATTTCATGGAGCTGATGGCATCATCTTCAATTGCTGACATATAGATTTAGTTTAAAATGAAAACGTTACCTGGTCATTCACAAAGGTTGATGAACGTTTCATCCAAAATGACTATTTATGAATGTTTGTGGTAGACATCGAAAAAATTGACTTGGTGAAAACTTGACTTTCCAAATTAGAGATTTGTGAACAACTGTACGTGTGCATGAAGAGATATTATGCACAATAACGCAAGGAAAAGGGAAGATAAAGTGAGCAATTGCAGGAAGTTTGCCTTTTTTAAAATAAATTATTTTAAATGTCCATGGCATTAAGAATAAAATGGTTTTTACTTCGAATAAAATGTCAATGTCATATTTCTTTATTTTACATTATTTCTGGCTGTTTCAATGAAAATTAGTAGACATAATGTATTTTTAAAAATATATGAAATTTTTTGTCCTGCAGCAGGGTTTGTAAAATCAGAACTGTTGCCAAAAGAGACGGTCTCTGTTCTTCTTCAGGTGCTGTGGCTGTTGAGTTTTGATGATAAGAACACATTGGCTGATGCTGTGGACAAATACTGCATTGGAGTGCCGCCCATCCAATGGCTGGCCTGGATCCCTCAGCTCCTCACATGTCTGGTTGGCTCAGAGGGGAAACCTCTCCTTAACCTCATCAGCCAGGTTGGATTGCTCACTACATTACCTTTTTATAGCAGCACATTCATGCTTGATATATCCATCTAATCAAGATTAATTTCATTTGCTGTCTTCAATTAGAGACAGACTGCATTCAAGACCACCTTTGTCAAATTCACAGTTTTACCGGTTCCCTTTTTATTTATTTATGCAAAGCATTGTTATTGGGTTAATATCAAACACTCTCCAACTGTGGGAACAGAACCGCCAATTAAACAAGAAACTAATTTGCCCTCCTTGATGGAGTATTATTTCCAAGCCATTTAAAAAGCTCCTGAACTTCAAAGAGGAAACAGCTGCTTCAGGGGCCCAAAGAGAGAGGGAGAGAAAAGGAGACTGAGGAGAGCGTTCTGTGTATTTAACTTGCATAAAAAGATGTCAAAATCCTCCTCTTATTCCCTGACTTGTTCCAAACATTTTTTGCATGCAGCTCGACCACCTCTTTTCTCACGTTTACATGCCAGACCAGCGACTTCTAATCTCTCCATTTCAGCACTGACGCACCCATGCAGTGGAAATGCTTCACTTTAAGATTAAGTACACTTGAGTCCCTGATAAGCACCCAATGAAATGGATATGTTTGCACTCCATAATCTCAATTAATGGAGTTGTCAAGGCTGTTTTAGGGATGACAAGTCTCCTTGTTGAAGGATCCTTGGGTCTGATCTAAGGCAGTGATGACGAGTGAAAGGTAGACGTTTTGTAGAACTCTTGATTTTCAAGTGAAATCTCCAGCGGATAGAGCACCTTTATCTCGGGCTCTGAATTATTTAGCTGTGCTCCAGTTGGCGGGATGTTTTAAAAACGTTTGGTGAAGTATTGATGAAGGTGAGCTGTGGGGTGCCTTGAGATGAAACTGAGGCGAGAAAAACTCAACACCTTTATGCACGCAGACACCCATCACATGTACACGCGCACACACCCTAAAATATGATGAGACTTCTCTCCAATTTTAGGGGTGATCTGTCCCCCGCTGCCTCGTTCATTTTTTAATGCTATACTTAACAAGCTTTTAACAGAAGGTCTTGGCCATGGCTGCTTTTCATGTAAAAGCCCATCTGGACTCCGAGGTGTCTCTTTACACCTAAAGGCCAGCCTGCTTTCTGCCGTCTGTTTGACGAAGATCGTGTTTCCACTCTAATGGGCTGCTTGAGCTGGGTGCTGTGAGACCTGAGAGGGGTGCGGGCGGTTTGAGAAGGAGCGCTGTCTACCGCCTCCATATTTGTCTTCATCCCCCCCCCATACACACACACACACACACACACACACACACTAATGCGGACAACAGTGTGTGTGTGTGTGTGTGAGAGAGAGAGAGACCAGAGTTGGACTGAATCTTCGGTATTTATTAGTGAGATTCGTTTTCATTCTTACAGACGCGTTTGCAGTATCTCAGAAATGACGCGATAACGGGATGATACCACTCCCTCAGAAATACGCAATGGGCTCAGTGTGTTGTGATTCGTTAACCACGTACTGCACATTGTCCGGAAACTTCACGCCCATTAAATATTACGGGCAATAGTTGCATGTGCTCCAGTGGAATGTAAATAATGGTGTCAATATTGCCGTATCAATTTGAGCCCTTTATCACTGCTTAGAATACTATAAAATATGTTGCGTGCCATATTCTGTGTAAGAAGCCACATCATCTCACAGAAGGATTTATTTCAAACACTGGACTGACGTTATGAAGTGAGTTTGGAGTAAAAATATGTTATTAAATGTGGTATTTTCCTTTACTGACGAGATGAGCATGAAAATCACATTCGATTAATCGTGCAGCCCTAGCATTTAGCTAACTGGCTACTAAAGCCAAACAGAGTTGGCCTTTGTTTATGTCCTTGATATAACCAAAAAATAACGACAGAAACTATACATGGAAAATACATTTTTAAATAATAAAACATACAGGTTGGGGCCCAACAACAGCTGCCTCTGCTTTTAAGGGGTCATGAAAGATTTTAGCAGAGGTGTTTGTGTTGCACATTATAGAAGACAATGTACATTTTATAATTTAATTTGATCATTTTAACTGTTTGAGAAAACTGGTTAATTTTAAGCTTTTTTGCGCTATTTTCATCTTCCGGGTTTAAAATCTACATCGTGTTGACGTCACAATTTGTGACGTGGCAAAGGACTATAGTACATCGATGTACTATTGTCGGTGTCTATTAAATTATTCATGAGACTGCACGTTCTTATCCAATGAGAAGACGCTTCGCTTAATTATTCACAACAGCATGTGTTGATTTGCTATGACAGACGCTTCAGATTGTGAGATCGTGCACATTAACTGATAGAAACGTTCATGGATCGAAGGAGAGTGTTTGTTTTTGCTTTGTAATAAGAGTTCGGCACAAACGCGATCCATTCACTTAGTGAGTGTAACCCTTTTTACAGCTCCGTGACACAAGCCGTCAAAATGCTTATATAAACGCAGCAGAATAAGCCAAAAAAGTTATCAAAGGTGCAACAGCGCGTTCATATATATGTTTTCGATGCAGAGTGCAAATGACTGCATTTATTTATGTTTTTAACTCGATGGGAGTGAAATGAAACTGTCTGAACCCGAAGCTGTGTGTGTTGTCTTCCTCCCCTCTTCCCCCTCCGCTCGCAGCGCACCATGCCCACTTTTTTTTAGCATTTTTTAAAACTGTAGTGAGAACTAACCAGTGCTGAAACGGGGTTTCATGACCCTTTAAAGTGGGAACTGCTCCATGTTTCAGTAATAGCCTTTGTGTGAATCCGGCATTGAACTCGTGTAGATTCTGGAAGCTGTCTTCTGTAAAATGTGCAGCACAGACAGCTACATTAGGATTGTAATTGTCAGGAACAGAATTAAAAATAAATTTTAACTGTTGTTTATGAAGTGCAGCGTCCGTAGGAAGGCCGAACACAGAAGACCTGTTAGCGGGGTGAAAATAACACCGTTTCGATGGCATGGCTACAACTCTTCCTCTTCTTTAAAGCCGCGCAACATGGCCCCGCTCCCTTTGTCTGCGATTATTTGCCCACTGTTTATTTATCCTGAAAATGTTTCATTTTAATTTGGCATTTGAGTTATATTGGATTGGTAAGAAGCCTCTACAAGCTTTGATTGTTGCAGATGGTTGCAGGTTGCTGAATTTCCAGAATTTAAATCCTCCAATCAGAGTTTTTCTTGGATTTACATTTTCCACCCAGTGTTATACTTGATCTACCCAACCTGGCAACCATGCGCAGATTGCGCACACACTCTGTCTACATTTACGGAAAAAGTGCTGATGAGCTGAAAAAACCAGCCAGCATCGAAGTTGGAGTTAGGGATCTCTACTGAGATATTTTACTCAAATAAAAGTGTAATACAACCAGTCTGTTTTCTTCCGCTTGGTTGTTTGCGATGTTTATGTAATGTGTGATTAATGATTGTGATTATATTTTTTGAGTAGAATAATTGTGATTAAGCATTTAACCATTGTCGTGCAGTCCTTATATATTAATTTAGTACATAAATAAGAAATATGAATATATAAAAAATGTATATTAATATTTTACACTTTTTAGGTTAGCTCATTTGCATCCAATTGGCATAGAACTGAAATTACTTCATTTAAGTAATTAAGTTACTGCATTATCAAAAATAGCCTTTGCTGCATGGTTATGTAACAGAAAAAAAAAATTGGGGTTTTATATTCTGGCAAAAATATCTATCATATGTTGATGTACTGTTACTGTGCTATTACGTGTAATCATACTGTTAATTAAAGAAAGACTTTTGTTCGTAGTGCCAATGTATCAGTGCCGTTTTGATAAATACATGAGTTTTTGGGCTAAATCATTAAACAGCCTGAACCTTCTCTTTGTGATGTTGTTCAAGGACACAGCAGATCTCTGAAAGGGAGAAAGTGTACACTTGGGCTTGACAAGCTTTTAGCGAGTGTCATATTGAGCCATGGTTTTAATCTGCCCTTGCTGTTTGTCCATCTCATTGCTTTCCCCATACGGTTTCATTTTCAAAAGCCTGCACTATCACAGAGAAGTTTCAAAACATGTCAGCACTACGTTTCTCTCTCTCGCTCTGACCCGAACCCACAGGGACGATCTGAAATGTAATCTGCGACTGTTTCTCTTAGGTGGGACGTGTCTACCCTCAAGCAGTGTACTTTCCAATCCGAACCCTGTACCTGACGCTGAAAATCGAGCAGAGGGAGCGCTACAAGAGCGGTATGCCTGGAGTTTTTTCAGAACCTTCACACCAAACAATAAAAAGTCCTACAAAAGTCAACTTTTTCCTTCATGTGCTGTCTTTTCTCTTTTCCCCAGATTCTGGCCAGCAGCAGCCCAGTTCAGCGGCTGCTCAGACCCACTCAGTGTCCGACCCGGGTCCCATCCGTGCCACTGCTCCCATGTGGCGCTGCAGCCGGATCATGCACATGCAGCGTGAGCTCCACCCCACCCTGCTCTCTTCTCTGGAGGGCATCGTGGACCAGATGGTCTGGTTCAGGGAGAACTGGCACGAGGAGGTGAACGGTTTTATGTGTTAAAGCGAGTGTTTTTGAATTCCAGAAGCGAGTGGCTACCTCTTAAAGCACATTAGCCCTGAGCGCAAGTTAAACATGACATGAATGCGTTTTCTGTCCGGTTTGCTTACGTTCTTTAGTCTAACGCCGCATGCTCTCGTACACGTAGCTGTTTTCAGAGGGCCGGCTGAGCAGATGAAAGCTGACAGAGGGGAACGTTTGGGGCTCAGTGAGGCTGAAAAGTGGTTTTGCAGCGCAGGTGGACATTGGCGCTCCAGTGCTAATCGGGCTTTGGAGAGGGGCTCGCAGTGATTGATGGGTGAGGGGAGTGTAGACTGAATGTAGTGAGATTGGATTTCCGTGACAGGGCTGATTCGGTGATGTGTCCAGACTGGACAGGGACGCAAGAGCCCCGCTCCTGTGGGACACTCGGTGAGAAACAGAAGAAGAAGAGGACAGGAAAGGGCGAGGAAAGAAAGTTTAGCAAGGAGAGCTGGAGGATGAAAGAAATTGGCATTGAGAGAGCTCAGTGAAGTAGAACGTGGGTTTAATTTTCCAGACATTGATGAAGTGTAGTCTCAGACTAAATTAGTCTGTTAATGTCGATCTTCTTCTAAATCTAAGCTTAATCTCTGCAGCAGAGACCGGTAGAGGCGGGCTTTTACTGATATCTCTGGTGAAGATCTTCGCCTCTGAAGGATTTTTATTATTATCAAAATGGCAAATTGGATTGAATATGTGGGAATGGTGTTATCCTTCATGGTGAATTGATAAAGACTCGTTAACCATTCATCCTCGTTTCTTAGTTTCTCATTTTTCCCTCATTTTCTTCCTCAGGTCCTGCGGCAGCTCCAGCAGGGCCTAGCTAAATGCTACTCGGTGGCATTCGAAAAGAGTGGAGCCGTGTCCGATGCTAAAATCACTCCGCATACGCTCAACTTTGTAAAAAAGCTGGTCAGCACTTTTGGAGTGGGCCTGGAGAATGTCTCTAATGTGTCCACCATGTTCTCAAGTGCTGCCTCAGAGTCCCTGGCCCGCCGAGCTCAAGCCACCGCTCAAGACCCTGTGTTCCAGAAGATGAAGGGCCAGTTCACCACAGGTCAGAACACTCACAGTTCCTGTGCACATTATTTTACACGGACAAACGTCTTTCAGTTAAGTGACATTTTTCCACCTGTAATTTATGCAATGCAACTTTCTCCACGTCTGAAGCTAACATAACTAAGAGTATGTAGGTGTGGAAAGATCATCATACGGTGTGTTCCTACAGTTATGGAAAACTTAGAAATATCAGGGAATTTCAAAAGTGAGTTTCAAGCCTGAAAAAGTCATGGAAATGAATAAAAAACATAATAGGTTGCATAAAATAAGAGTCGTGGAAATTTCTTTAGTTTAATAATAATCAATATAAATGTGTCTGATATGATTCTGATCTCTATGAAAGTATTAACAAAAATCATCCTATGAAAATGGAAATAATTGGTTAAACTATTGGAATCCTCATCATAGCTGGATTTTCATGATCCAATTAAATCTCAGAATCAACCTTCTACATTTCTTGTTTTACTCTGAAAATATCACATTACAAAAGTTTAGGTCATTGTGAATGCCCTTTCCTATTGCCTTCATTTAACACCAAAGCACAGATAAAATAATTCAAGTCAGCTGACTCTTTGAGAATGAGCTGTCACACGTGGACTTCTCAGAAGTGTTGACAGAAGTATAAATTGCAGGCAGCACACTTGAAGGATCACGTCTCCTGTGCACAATTACACATGCTCCCGCTCTTGTCTCTGTTCTGCATAACCACTTGTGCTCAGAGTTAACCACAGGCCTCTCCACAAGACCGACTCAGAATAATTGGCTCTGTGAACCATGTGATTAGATTTAATGGGAAGATGACTATGGGCAGAACCGTGTGTGCATATATCAAGGTGATGCTGACGGTAAAGAAATTGCACAGCTTTAGGTAAACAAGCTTACCAAAAAACACTACACATGCCTATTATTTGTAGATTCATTTTGAGGAAAAAAGTACACAAAAATGATTTGGTAACTTTTCAAAATGTTTTGTATTTTAAATTTTTTTTGTAATTTTTTTTGTTTGTTTGTTTAATCAGGTAAAGGTGGAAGTGTGTAATTTCTGTCACTTCTGGTACCAGGCAAAATTGCAAACATTTTTGCCCAAATGCTCCACTTGTCTTCCAGAATTCCAAGCTAGTTTTCCAGTGTTGCCCAGTTATTTGGCACATTTTTACGCATGTACCTTTAAATCATAGTCATCTTGGTTTTTTTTGTTGTTGTTGTTGTTGTTGTTTCGTAGGGAACAGAATTGTTTTTCTGAGACTTTACCTGTAAGTCCCAAATGTCTTTCACTCCCCTCGAGGTGTTTGTTTAAAATCTCTCTGAGCAGGGGAGAAGTTGGCACGGCTCTTTCCTCAGGCCAGTTTTGTACACATTCCCCGACAATAACCTTCCAGTATCCCCGGTGTAGACCTGGCTCTCAGAAAGCAGAGCATGTGTGATCCGAGGCGTATGTTAAAACAAACTCCCCCTCAGCTGTCCTCTCCTCAGGAGGGCAGAATATGTTTATACTTCCCTTCCCTGTCCACCTACAGTCTCTCCACCTCAGTAAACTTTGAATCCTGGAGCTAGTGCTCTCGTTTGTTTCATATGAAGCTCTATCCGGAGGCCTGTGTGTGTGTTCATGGCCTTAGAGGACTGTTAAGGTTGTAAGGGTGTAAAACAGATGCCGTATGGGGTTGTGGTGCCAGCTGTCTCTGGGCAGTGAGGCGTGGCCATCGCGCCCTGAGCCTTCTCTGAACGTCTGACATAGTGTGCTACTGGGAATGAGCTTTGGAGGGGAACCAGCAAAGCGCACAGCCTGCTTCGTTCCCTGTATCCTTCCTTTCTCCTCCCAAGCTCTCCAAACAAACACACTCCAGCACCATTTGTCAAGAATCGTTTAATCCAATCACTATTAATCCACAAAGTGTTATTGTTTATCAAATGTGGCCTGCCCAAATTTTCAAACTGTTGTTGAGGTATCATTTAAATGTTAAATTAATTTTTTTAAGAATATGCACTCTTAACGATTATTTGACCAAATTAAGATTAATTTGATCATTCATTTAAAGGGGTCCTATTATGCTTTTTCACTTTTTCAACTTTAGTTAGTCTGTAATGTTGCTGTTTGAGCATAAAAAATATTACCAGGCGCCGAGTGGAGCCAATCACAACACACACTGACCCAGCTAACTAATCACAGCACATTTCATATTTCAGAAGGCGGGCCTTCATTTGATACAGGAACTATTCGAGCCGTTCATGCCAGACTGGGGAGAGAGGTGTTGTAATAATGTAAAATGTGTGAAAAATAATGTGTTTTTCGAACAACCTAGTATGAGAGCCTGTTCCAGTACACCCCCAAAACAAAATCAAAACTTTGTAAAAGAGCATAATAGGACCCCTTTAAGAAATATTTATATTGCATATTTATATTTAATAATATATTTTTAAAAATTAGCAGTATGCTCTTCTCTGGAGTTGTTTTTTTTCTTCTATGTATTATGGACATTGGGTAACTTTCCTGCAAAATGTAGCGTTAGATGACAAGTTGTATACAAGCTGTTTTATAGACATCTTTCCATGGTTCAGTACTGATTGCATAACACAGTGTCTATGCTGGATGCAGCGTGATGTGACACCAACATTGACCTGATGCCTCATTCTATTATCCACATACTCACACGCTTTCGCTACTTCAAACAACAGTGGATGAATTCAGAGTTCGCTTTTACGCATTCAGTGAAGAGAGCCACATGCTGTTGCAGCACAACGCGATGTGACTGCGAAAGCTGAGACTGTATAAGTAAAACACATTTGAGTTATGTGGCTTCATACAAGAGTCTTTGCGTTGTTGTTTTTTTTTTATTTATTCAAATCACTAACATCATAATGCCATTTCTAAAGGTTTTAACTTTTGTTTGAATATTCTTTTAGGTATTTTTTTCTCTTTAAAAAAAAAAAGTTAGGTATATTTGCCTAAATTGTCTACATTTTTGTTTGTGTGGAATATAGTACTGGGTAATAATACTAGTAATAGTACTACGAGATTAGTGGTGTTAATATTTCTGGAACATGCATTTTACTATAGCAGGGTTACGCTGTTCTCAAGCGTTGCTGTCTGCATTGATCTAAAGCGGGAGCGTGTCTGCGGGGCCGAGACTGTTTTAGGGCTCCTGTTGGTGCTGTACACTGTGTTCACTCAGGCATTTCAGTGATGGAATTTAAAGTAGACAATTCACCGGAGAATGCTGCACAGTGAGCGGCGCGGGCAGACGGCCGATGGGGGGTATTTTTAGCGCTTGGCTACCTCCATCGCCCAAGCATTATTAGGTGCAGAAAACTTCCGCCTTCGGTGCATCTCATTCACAGGTCAGAGAGCAGAGACTTTGTTTTCTGCAGCAGCGGGGAGCTCAAATCCCCCTAGAATTGAGCTGATCCTGGGTCAGTGAGACAGCTGAAACTGAGCGCACCTTACTATCCATACATATTCGAACCAACAAAGGTGTTACATTTATCAGAAAAGAACCGTGTTGCCCGGGAGGCACCGTTATCTGAAAAACCCCTCGCTTCAGGGCACCGTTGCTACAGGGGATTGTCTGTTCTTTTTTTTTTCAAAATTGATTACACTAAGTCGACCGCTGTGCATAGCCATGCTTTTCAAGTCAAATCTCTTTCTTAATGCTCACTGGTCATTAAGCACCTAAACAGTCTTAAAGTCTCTCAGAGTCGGATTGGCCAAGATTACAGAGCGTGTCTGATTTCAGAAGACATCGTCTAATTCGGGGCGTGGAAATGGGAGGGAGCTGCGTTGCTCATGGCAGTTCACTGCTAATCAAAATGTCATATGGGACATTGATGATATTGCAAGTGTCATGCAAGCCGTGAGAATTCCTTAAATGGCCTTCATTATGTGTGGCATCCACATCTCACTGGTGTAAGGATAAAAGAAACTCAGGAAACTCAGATACTTTGATCTCCTGAGAAACAGACAATACACTGGCACCTTCAAGACACCCCACAGAGGGGTGGTGCAGGAAACGCCTCTCTCACATATGCATCAGTGCCTTTTCATCTGCTCCCTCCACTGGATTCACTCAGAATGGTCAATAGTAGAATGTTCTATATGAATGCAAATAAGATTTACAGTCATGTTTGGTTTCATTTGAATAGTGTCAGGGTGAGTGGTACAATGGTCTTAATCTTACAAAAGTAGACTAAAAGATAATTAACTCTGCGCGCTGAAAAGACCGAACACGCAAGTGACCTTCATCCACCACTGGATACCTTCCTTGGGCCATGTGTGTGGACCTTACACTGGCTTTGACATGAGTGGCAGCTGATTGCAAGATGCTTTTGAATTAAAGCCTCTTCTGCCAAAGCCTTAATTATACGAAGAGATTTTTTTGCTTGAGGGTGTTTTTCGTCTTAAATGTATGAAATTAAATGCCAAGCAGTTTCCATATCTGCGGTACATGGTATTATTAATGTAGCACAACAGAAGAATGAAAGTGGAGCAGCTTTTAGCCTATTTGATAAAGACGTTCAAGCCTGGAGGTTGTCTCTAAAATTGGGAACGTGGCTTGCATTCCGACCATACCTTTTGTGTCTGTTTTCCAACTTAATGCGCAATGTCATTTAGAAGTTGCATTGAGCAGTTAATCCTTTTTTCCCTCCTCATGAACCTTGATGTTATCAGCACCTTCACATCGCAAGGGAGACCTGGGAGGAAGTGCACCACTTCTGTTTCCCTGATCCAAAGATAACATCTCCTCTCTCAGTCTCTTTCACACAATCTCTGCCAGTTTTACGCCACGTCTACCTCTTTCGCACATCCAGAGTCTTTTCCACCTGTTCTTTTGCAGTGTTTTTTTTTTTTTTTTTCAGCTACCTATCTGTTCCTTTGCTTTACCTTGCCCCGTCACTTTTTCTATTCACAGATTTTGACTTCAGCGTTCCCGGCTCCATGAAACTTCACAATCTCATTTCAAAGCTGAAGAAGTGGATCAAGATTCTGGAAGCCAAGACGAAGCAACTACCGAAGTTCTTCCTGATCGAGGAGAAATGCCGTTTCCTTAGCAACTTCTCGGCCCAGACTGCTGAAGTTGAGATCCCGGGAGAATTCCTCATGCCTAAGCCCACACACTATTACATCAAGATTGCCAGGTAACAATCAATACACACTAGGGATGGGGGTTGCTCTGGTCGACTGATCATCTAGTGATCCAGTAACTGACTAGCCGATATGTCTTACGGAAGTCATGAATAATTAAGTTAGTTTCAGTTTTATTTGATGGTAATACTTGACACATTTTGCAGCTAAAATATAAAAAATAAAACTAAAAATACAATTATAAACTAGTCACCCTTACTAATCATCTAGTCATTCAACATCTAACTAGATGATCTGTCTTAAGGAAGTCATGAATAATTGTTAGTTTCAGGTATATGGAAGGTTTAGAGGACTTCCTTAAAACAAATTACTTGATTAGTCATTCAGGCAACCCACCACTCAATCTTAAATATGCAGCTTCATGTCTCTAATACATACACTAGGACACATATGTCGGTTTTGATTGAATTTTTTTTGTTGCTTTTTTTGTATTCTCCCCTTGGAGTTCTAAGCTAGACTCCAGCTGAGACCTTAATTCTCAGTGGTTACTTCTTCACTTACCCATCATTTTCTCTCTCACACCCTCTTACTCTACCTCTTCTAAGGTTCATGCCCAGGGTGGAGATTGTTCAAAAGCACAACACAGCTGCTCGACGACTCTACATCCGCGGGCACAACGGCAAGATCTATCCATACTTGGTGATGAATGACGCATGTCTGACGGAGTCCCGCAGAGAGGAGCGTGTCTTACAACTCTTGCGGCTACTCAACCCCTGCTTGGAGAAGAGGAAAGAGACCACCAAGAGACACCTCTTTTTCACAGGTACTGCAGCAACCCCAGATCACACAGAACATTCCCTTCCCCCTGAAATAGCACTGACTACATCTATTTATATCAGTCTTTTGGACAAGACCTTCCATTCTCATGACCAATGAATGTTCAGGCCTAAAGATTATTTATAAAAAAATTAATTAAAATTCTGAATAAAATCATATGAAGGTATATATAAAGCATTATAAAGAATGCAAGTATAAATAAATTAAATATATTAAATTATATTAAATATATATATTTTTTTCATTAATGAAATAAAAAAAAAATTAAAAAAAAAGCAACTTTTTCCACTTCTCTTGTTAAATCTATTTTGAATTGTGGCATGCATGTGTTCTGAGGTGCCCCATTTGAATGCTGTCCATTTGCTCTCAGTGTTGGACTCAATAGCCTAGTTGCTCTCAGACAGATTGAGGGAGATGGAGAATAGAAGAGAAGAAAAAGAAGCAAGATTGAGGTGAAAAGTACCAGAAAAGCTGTGTAGTGGTAACAGAAGAAGAAAGAGAGGGGACTGGAGCAGAATGAATAAAAATGAGGTTGCTCTTGTCCCTGTGGAGACTGAGGGAGGAAGATCTAAATTGTCTTTCTTGTGATAGACGCATTAAAGATGAAACTCTCTCAGTTCAGAGGTCAAGGGTGCCAAATTTTAGCTTTCGCTGAAATATTTTGTCTGTTCTCCATGCGTTTTTTCTTTAACCTCAAAGAAAAGAGGTTGATTTTATGCTGCAATGCAATTAATAATCATTAAGTAACATTAGGGATGTTTGTGTGCAAAATGTATTTTTATCATGCATTAATGCCTTTCACTGAAGTTATTTATTAGATGTGTATGAAATGCTCCCTGTAGTCGTGTGATGCTTTTCTTTTTACTCCCTCACAGGTGTTTTTGTGGCCTCGCTCAGCTGTTGATTTGTTTTGTTTAAAAATGACTCTGTAAATCAAATGATTGTATAAACAGGTCTGTTAAAATGTTTAGAGGTATTTTAGGAGATGGTCATATTTCAAGTTAACAGCCCTTTATGAAAGCCAAATAGAATCTAAAAGATGCTTTTCAAAGAGAATTATAATAATATCTGCTGAAATAGCTAGTGGGATTTGAATTGCTTTATATACCAGTAGAGTACATCCTCTTTAAATCTGTTCTCTTCTTAGTCCCAAGGGTGGTGGCGGTGTCTCCTCAAATGCGGTTAGTGGAGGACAATCCATCGTCTCTGTCTCTAGTGGAAATCTACAAGCAGCGTTGTGCTAAGAAGGGCATTGAGCACGACAACCCTATTTCCCGCTATTATGACCGACTTGCAACTGTTCAGGCTAGAGGAACCCAAGCCAGCCATCAGGTATGCCGTAAATAATGAGAAAATATATCAATAAAAATTTAGTTCACATAAATTGAATCTCATGAAATGGCCAAGGTGCATTTATTTTTTTACATATTTATATTTTATGTACATATCTGGATGCATAACAGATAAAGAGAATAACAACTCTTATTTTTGCTTTTAATTTTGGGGGAAAACTGGACATTTACCTTAATATGCAGTAGAGTAAATTAACCAATAAAATAGTTTTCCTTTCGTTTTAACTATATTTTTTTGTCCATGTTTTAAGGTCCTGCGTGACATTCTGAAGGAGGTCCAGGGCAACATGGTTCCTCGTAGCATGTTGAAGGAGTGGGCGCTGCACACCTTCCCCAACGCCACAGACTATTGGACCTTCCGCAAAATGTTCACCATCCAGCTTGCTCTAATTGGCCTGGCTGAGTTCATGTTGCACCTGAACCGTCTCAACCCAGAGATGCTGCAGATTGCTCAGGTACCCTAATGACTTGACGTCATGGAACTAATGTCATACCTAATACTAGCTCTCTTTTATCAAATATACATGTATCCAACAAGTTCAAAGCAGTTTCTTGGATCATTTCACGTTTCAGTTTTTGATGGTCACTCTCTAGATGTCTGTATGATTGTTTGTCATGCAACATTTGCGGTACAGTATCGGGTTAGTGCAGGTCCGTAGAGTCTTTTATTAGAAATGATTGTCAAACAAGTACCTCGTCCTGTGATTCTAATCTGCAGTTTTCTGACAGGCAAAGGAATGGGCGGCTAAGTGGGTATAGTAAGCCCCCTTGCTGCCGGTTCCACTCTACAGATCTCATTAGGTACTAGGAGATTACCACGGCAGGCAGAGCGGACAAGCAGATATGTGCTGTCTTTGTCTGTCTCTCTCTCTCTCTCTCTCGATAACACACTCCCAAAACATCATGCATTTGCCTGGTGTATCACTTCCATTTCGTTTGACTTCAGACGCTGAGTTTGGTCCTGTGCAGGGTCTAAATACAGAGCTTGAATCATGTTTTAGTAGTCTTATTGTGTTTGGAGTAATTTAACAACATTTGAGTGACATTACATCATTATTAAACTCACACAAATCTTGCAGACAACTACAGCACCCCTGATCTCATCCAAAACACTTCAAATGGTAATCTTGAGAACATTATTGTTATTTGAAATACTTCATTGGTGGTGATGACGACGCTCTACATCAAGGGCATCAGAAGGCAAATGGAGGATTATATTTGTTCATATGCTCAAATGCTGACACAGACCACAGTGGGTGTAGGATCAATACATCCTCCCATTTTTGTGGTCGGATGCCTACAACACTATCCAGTTTTCCCAGAGTGCTATAGATTAGCTGTTGTCTGATGTTGGTCCCACTTGAGTCCCACATGAGCAAACAGGCTCCTTACCCAAATTTGATTTTGCTTTGTTTCTCTGAATGGAAACTTATCAACTTGGCGCCACATGATATTCCCTCTCTCAAAGTCTGATACGTTAGCCGAAGTCTTGTAGTTTCTAGATGATAAGGTCAGATTCTCAAATGAATTAGTTAACACCATCCTGATGTGTTGTTCCCCCAACAGGACACTGGGCAGCTGCCAACAGCCTGGACAACCTGTGCCGCATGGACCCTGCCTGGCACCCTTGGTTGTAGACAGGCATGTATAGAAACAAATTCTGGCAGATCTCTGAGAAATGCAATACTGTGAAAGTGAATGTCAGTCGATGAATTTGTCCCATGAGTTTAAAAAACATCATGTGTTGAGTTAACATTTGGAAGGGGTTATATAATAATGCACAAACTGTAATTTAAAAAAGAACTGGATAATACTTAAGGTCTTTAGTATTCACTGTTATTCACAGGTAAGAGATACATGCAGCAATTAAAAGCAGCTTTGTTTGGTTGGAGGAACTATTGTTAAACTGATGAGCTTAGCAAGGTGCTTTTGTTGAGACTGTCATGACGGTATAGGACAGCCTTTAAGAAAATACTGTTTCCGCAGCCTTTTTTTGGCTCTACACTGGAAGAGGGCGCAGCAGCTATCCCGGTAGGTTTTATGCAACTCCCATCAAGCTCTCCCTTTACGCCTGCGCCATTCTCTCTGACTGACGGCAGCCTTTTAAATTTAGTAATCTAATTTACATGCATCAACACTCAGCAATTTTCAGCATGTTGTTACGTGTCAGTATGTCATTATTTAAAGTTATTTGTGGGAATATTTTTCTTTAACCTTTGTACATCATGTAAAAATGACATTGCATCCCTTAATTGTTGTGTAGTTTTCAACAGGTTTGTGCAATTTAAAGCTGCCATGTGTTAGTCAACCATAGATTTTTTTTTTTTTTGGCAAAATACTCTGGAAAGGCAAAGACCTGTGAGCCTTAAGACAGGGGTAGCTCTGTATTTAGCTAATTTTTAGTTAATCATAGCACATACAATTAAATTATCCGTTGTTACAGCTCAAAGTTTTTCAACTTTGCCTTTTTAGGAGTGTCCCAAAACATTTGTATCTCACTGATACACCTAAAAGCATTTTTGTATACATTCCCCTCTTTTGTAAAGGTACAGAATATTGTGCCAACATATGAATAAGTTACCTCTGCAATGTAAATATGCATTTTGTTTTAATAAAATGCTCTTTTTCAAGAAAAAAAAAAGTGGTGTTGTGTTTTTATTAAGAATGGCAGCCCTTGCTGTTCTGTCTGTGGATTTGTATTCCAACTGCATGGTTAAATGTGACGTGTCTCTCTGTGGGTGGTTGATTGAAGGACTCTTTCAGAAAGAAATACCTTGTCTCTTGCTGATTTTCTGAAGTACAAGAGAGGACCTGAGTGAGAGCATGCCGTGGAATCGTTTGGGTCAGGTCAGATCACGGTCTGCTTTTCCTTTTTTATTACAGCCCGTCAGTATATCTCACTGAGCGCTGTCTTCTCTGAGTTACACATGCTGTCAGTGCTGGCTTCAATCCCATAAACCATTGCTTCACCCTGTACGCTTGCACAGCACAGGTGCTTATCCTCTTTTCTCTGATCTCTCTCCAGCCCCTTTCTAGCATCAGTCAGGGACCGTACTCTCCCACCTTTGTCCTCCTTTTGAGGTCCTTTGCCACCAAACAGTCCTGGGGGCTGATGTACAACTGCACTGTCTAAACATGAAAGAGCTGCGATATTCAACTCTGAATGTGAGAGATGTGTCAGGTCCTTGCTGTGGCTCAGAAGCCCCCGCCCGCGGCCGCATTGCCCGTTGATGTCTAGACTGATAGCAGGAGGATGTGGGCAAACTGACTGATGGAGCCCCTCGGGGAGAGCTGTGATTGGCGGACATATGCAGGACAAACAAACCACCATTTCTTCTGCCAGCACAATGATGGAGAGAAGAAAATCTTCCTTGACATCATCTATCTGCTAAAATTCGGAGTGATGTTCATGAGTAAAAAAATTTGAGTATCCTTATTAAAGGTGACGTCTCATTGTTCAGGGCTTTTTTTCTTCTTAAGTTTAATGTGCAGACTATAACTAACTCATTCAGAAGAACATTTTAACATAAACGGTGGCGTATTTTCAAAACTTCGCTGTTTTAGTGGCCCGACATTACCAGCATTTAAAAGTTTTACACCGTTTTACCCAAGGCTACTTTTAGGAAGTCCAATTGTTTTGGAATTCAACCAGACAGTTGCAGATCCCTTTCGATCATTAGTGCGAAATCACAATATCCAAATGAATTAATTTGGAAGTGTCTTACAGATCGTGATCTTGCTTCCCATTATGAGCTGACAGCTGCAGGCTTATGATAAAATGTGTGGGTACTAAACACTAAGCTGACATGAGCAAATGTGTCCGGAGGATGTGTCACCTATAAACCGCAAACATTACCTCTGTTTTCACACCCTAGACAAATTATAGCATCCTGTGTGAGTCTTATCCTCGATCTAAACGAGTGTGCCTTGAACCGAAGAAAATGTCATTTAACGCTTCTACACAGGATTTGAATTGGGATTGTTTTTGCTGAATTGCAGAATTCTCATACAGTTGAGCAACTGCTATTCTGCTGTTACAAATTAATGGGAAAAGTTTTCAAGGTGATGCTCTGTGGCACATTACCAGGTAAAAGTCATTTGAAGGAGCGCCACGTGCAAGTACCGGGAAGAGTTGAGCTGATCGAGGATGGGATATGGTCCTGTGATGCCCTCGGGCTCCAGCCTATTTGGAGGAGCCCTCTTGAAAGATATCTAGAAAACAAGACAAAACATTGTAAATACAAGGGGATTCATGAGGAACTCTGGTCTGTCTGTATTAGGGGTGTCCAATCCTGCTCGTGGAGGACCACCTTCCTGCAGAGCTCAGCTTTAACCTGCTCCAATACACCTGCCGGTGAGTTTAGTAACCCTGAAGACCTTGATAGGCTTGATTGGTGTTCGAATTAAACTCTCAGGAAGGCGGCCTTCCAGAAGCAAGATTGGACACTTTTGATATACAGTAGACAAGAATTCCTCAGGGGAGCTCTTTTTCCCTTATATATTAAATTTCCCATCTCAATTGGCTTGTTTCCAGGTATCGGAGGCCCTGGGCATTTTGCCCCATCCGTAATTTGTCCTTAGAGCTTATGTAGAGTTAAGATGTTAGTATTTGAGATTCAAGTCCTTTGCAGTAACATTCATTCTTCCTGATCCAAGAACCACAATCTGATTTCACTGACCAGCTTGTTGGAGAGGCACATGAGGTTTCATTTTGTTTGGCGAGGCTAAACGATGCAGTGCAAAGCTTCTCTGAAATGAATCTCTGCTGAAGTATTAGCTTCATTACCTGAACTTTCCCAGCGCTCCTCCTGAGATAATTCTCTGCAGTTCCCCTGTCTTCGGGTGCTTGTCAGAAACACTTCACGTCCTAAACCAATTAACCAAGCTCTTCTCAGAGTGCCCTGATCTCCTGGCAGGCTGGGAGGAGAGGCTCTTGTGTGTCTGACAGGATCTCCCTCCGCTTCTCCTCCCAGTTCGCTGATTTAATTTGTTTGCTAATATGAGGATTGGCATGTTCCGCCCAGATTCACTGCAAAGTGAAATTGGACAAGGGCATTGGAGCTTCAACATGTAAAACTGTCTCACCTTGACAGCTGGCTGAGTGGACTGGTGATTGCCTGCAGAGATACCTAAAAGGACCACACACACCAATTCATTCAGCCTCCATTGTAAGGATTCAGGGGATGACATCATGAAGGAATAAACCTATGTAGTGTTTGTTAAAGGGAGGAATAGAGACACTTTGTAAATCCCTTGATCATTTTGGTGGTTGAGCAGTGAACTTTCCCCAAATTGTCCAATACATGGTTACTATACCCTTCCTCTCGTCCATTAGTAAAGTAATTTACTGTATTTTACTTATCTCAATTTCTCCTCCATAAATATGTTTAGATGGAGGAACGCTGACACTGCAGCTCAAGAAGATAATCAGCTTACTCTGTCCAAATGTCAGTGAACATTTCTTGAGTTGATTCCAGCCTGTCAGGTCCTCCAAGCTTCATCATAGATCATACAACTTTGACTGACATTAATGGATTCCTGTGGGAATCTGCAGAACGGTGAGTATTTAAAGTTAATGCGTGTATATTTTTTAATACTCCTGTCCCAACCTAAAATTAATAATAAATGATAAATTCCCCCAGAAAGTGTAAACACTGTGGCACTTTCAAAACAAAGCTGTTTGTTTAAGCATCCTGACCAGCCCAGTAAAACTGACACAACCAATGGTGTGATTTTAGGGCGGAGCTATCTGTTAGATTGACCGATAGCAAAAGGGAGTATTCAGCAACTTGTTATTGAAAATAGTTATTATCTTTTAAATTTTGTTTGGTGTAACGAAGCACAAATGATACACTTCACTTAAATGGCTTGATGAGCCATTGATCAGCTTTCTTTTCTGTGTTAATATATCCTTTTCAAAAAAAAAAAGGTTTGGCAGGACATATCAAGGGGCTTGTCTTTTTATTATTATTATTATTTATTTATTTTAGTAGCTAATGGGCTAATGTTACATCACTGCTATGAATCCTGATTTGTTTTACTTGCTAGTCGTGGTATTAGGGGAGGGACATTCTCATTCTAGAGAGCATTTGACTGAATGAAAATCTGTGTAGTGCAGGATGAGTCCTCAATATTCTTGGTTTGTTTTTATGTAGGAGAAACACTGTATGTTTAGGAGTACACTAGCATAAACACACAAGGACCAAGCAACACAGTAAGCTGATATAGTGACAAGAATTAGTTGACATTGTGTGTGTGTGTGTTATTTTATTGTCATATTTATGCAGTGCAAATGAAACTGTGAAATGAATGAATAAATTGACAATATCGAGCTGGCGGGTTAATTAGATAAAGTACATTAAGCCGCGCACTGCCGTGTTCTTTTGCACTGCAGACATTATTCCCAGACTCTCTGCCTAGTTGTCCTGAGAGACCGACACCAGGAGCATCTTAAGTCTGGCTCATTTCCACCTCCAGTGAAGGGAGACGGCTCCTTAAGGTGTGTGTATATGAGGTGTAGCCCTCAGGGAAGATAGCTGATCTCAGCCAATCACAGTGCCCTGCAGATAGACATGATCCTTTTGGGGACTCGGTTTGGAGACTTGCTTTATTTTCTAATGCTTGTCAGAGAATACAGCTAATGGTTGTTCAAAATTTTGCTTGCTTTATTACCTTTATTCAATCTTTTCCATAATATTCATAATATTTCATGATAAAATCATAGCCATTCTGTGCCCAGCCTCACATGGAATTTGTACTCAAGGAATTCCACACAATCCTTTGCGAATTTCTATAACTGGAATGCAAATTTTTTTAAAAAGTTTTATACGTCCCAATCTCTTTATTATTGTCAGTTTACAGTACACTGTACAGTAAACACTATTGTGGTTATTATAGTCAAATTAGTTTTTAGCTACTTTTGTTTGAGAACATTTGTTTGATGTTCTTCTTAAATTCTAATATTGTTCAGAAGGGCTGATCTTTTGTACGTTGTTTCCAAACAAGAAATTTAATGTGGTTAAGCTATGATGAAATCCAGCTCTATTCTCTCTTAATGTTTTATGCTAAACACTGGAGCAGCTCTGGATAGGGCCAAACGGCTCTTTTCTGACATCCTGCTGTATCAGCATCACAGCAGCGTGTCGTCACCCGGCCGATTGGCGCTTCTGTATCCTGGGATTACAGTCTTAATGAAACATTCCCTGCACCATTTCTCTTTATGGCCTATAATTATTATTAAACAGGGCCGTGGCGCTATCAGGAAAGCACAATAAAAGCTAATGATGTAGCCAATGCTTTAGCCAAGCTTCATCAAAATAGCTGATATTTCCGCATTGGGAATCCCTGATAAAATATTTAATTACAGATTTCATACTTCAATGCACTGAGGACCATTCATGTAGATTTGTTTTTCTTTGGTGTTTGTTCAAATGCTCTGGTGAGGTTATTTATAGTTTCCAGTGATGCATTGGGTTAATGTGGTTGCTTACCTTCATTGCTCAGATTGGGTATATATATATATTTTTTTTCCATTTTATATTTATTTATTTTTTCAGAGGGAAAATGCATACAGAGATCAGGACATACATAATTTCTCAGAAATAAAGAAAAAAAATAAAAAAAAATAAAT